GGTAGACAGCATATGTTCCTATCACTGTAATGACTTTTGGTGGATACTTGTAAGTGGAGCAGCACTCTTATTTTCTTATCAACCCAGATTTTACAGTTAATATGGCATTCAGCAGCTGCAGTGACATTCTGTTTCTTGGTTTTGACCTGACATAATTCATTGCACTGAATACTCTCTCAATTTCAGCATTTGAATGAAGTAGAATTAGAGCTGAAATTGTACATTGGAAAAGTTCTAAAAACAAACTGCATCCTGAAGCATTCCTATATTCACCCACTTCACTCCAAAAGGCTTTTGTAGTATTCTTGTGCACCCAGTCCACAAGATTTATTTATCTTGCTTAGTTGATATTCTGCTTGAGAGATAGATTGATCAGGGGACCCCTAAAATTTCCTAACTTCACAGATGGCAGCTTTGTCTTTAACTGGTTGAAGCATGTTAATAACAGAGAAACAAGAAATGTTCTGCAGAACTATAACATTATCAGGTAGACGCTGCTTTAACTGTTTATGAAGTGCCAGTAAAAAATCACAGCATCTTTTTCTTATACAAGTTTCATCAGTACAGTGTTGGTAAGTTTATTCTGCCTCTTCGAATCTTGAATTTTTCACTCAAATCTGTAGCCTAAGTAAGGTTTTGGGTCCAAATACTCTTCAATATAAGAATTAAGTAGATCGATATTACATGTTGGCAATACAAGTTTCTTTGCAATTGATTTTATCAGCATTGTTAGATCATTTAGTAGTTTCACTTTTCCGATGTTTTTGGATTCAAACAGTTTGTTTACTTGTTGTACTTCAATCAGAATTGGACTTAGAAATAAAAGAAAAGTCAAAAATTTTTTCATCCGAGTACATTCCATGCAGAACTTCTGCAGTATAGCACTTTTCGGACAATGGTGAAACTTCAATGTGGGTTTTTAGTTCCAGCCATTGTTCTAAGATTCTTTGAACATATAGTTGAATAAATAGTCATCTTGTTTGACAATCTTTAGGAATTTTCAATCCTTAGGAATTTCATTTAAAGTTTGATACACAGTCTTATACCGATACTGCCTGGTAAATGAATGTGAGAACCATTTATGTGTCTCGGTAATCAAAAAATTAAGGTGTCTTGGCAGGCTTTTTTCATAAGAATAAGGGATGAAATCTCGGCCTTCAGTTGTGCATGAACACCCTTATTTTTGCAAATCATCACATTCGCATTATCTGTTCCTATTGCTACAAGATTCTTCAAACTTAATTTATATGAACCGAGTACATTCTTAATACCTATAACAACGTGTTGAGCATCACAAGCTGTAAGTTCCAGCTAGGTTGACACAATCTTTTTTAGACATGATGTAATAAACTATAGATATGCCTATGAACTATAGATAATTTAAGCACAGTTATATATGTGAACTCATCTATTAGAATGCTGAATCTGCCAGCCATCACCAATATCTTGTCTTAGGTCTGTTTTAAAATGATCACACAGAGTATTTCTTATGATATGGATACATTTAGTCCGGTGCATTTTCATTTCAGACACTGTTTTGTTTGTAGAGAGATTTGTTTTACATAAATCAACTAAACGGTCAGAATTAGAAATAGCTGGGTGGCAACATAAAAATGTGGAAATAGACGCTTCCATTTCTGCTGTTTCGGCGTTTTTAAGGGTCATAAATGAATCAAGAGTTCTGGTAGTGAATGGACAAGCTTTCAAATATTTCTGGCTCTTAGTATGCTGCTTCAAATTTTGATATTTTACTTTGACTTCAAATTTACAGAACTTGCAGGATGCGTTAGAATCTTAGATGCATCAGCAGCCATGGGCGCTATCCACTCATTCAGCAAATCATCCTTTAGTCATTGTTTTCGAAATTTCTGGTCATATCATTTGCCACTTGTTTCTTTGGACATTCCTAAAGGGGTAGAATTAGTGAACAACAGTATTTCCTGACTTCAGATTTTAGCATAACAACAGCGTTCAGTCTGTCAGTTCACGCTACTTTCAAACTTTCAGAGTATGTCAGCTTGTTTTGAGCACTATTACCATAACTTCGATTTTCAGTGGTTAAAGATAGAATTTTTCTACAGAAGGCTATTACTTCTATTTATTGCTATGACGTCATCAAAATTATGTGGCTCTACGTGTCCATATATTTGAGCATAGCTATCTTGTTTATCAGCACATATTAAGTTATTACTATGTTCAATACTCTATATGTCAAAAGCAATAACAATTTTTATTAGTCTTGCACGATCTCTATTAAATAGTAACATCGAAAAGTAGGTTTTAAGCGTAAGTTTTACAGCTTTACCCAATATAATCGTTTAAACAGTTGAGAGAATAACTCATACTTTGTGCACTAATTCTTAAACTGTAATGCCTTTTGCGGAGATACGCGCCATCATCTCAGCAACGCCTATTTTTTGAGATGTATTCTAGCAATGGGGGTTTCAAACACACGAAGCTTTCGAAATCAAAAATAGCAATTCATTTTAACTGAAGGTATTACATTAAAAAATGACCAACTAGTTTCAAAGTTCAAACAAGTTCATTTAACTGGATTAATAACGCCATTCACTGAAATGTCTATATATATATCAGAGGTGACAAGTTTTTTTAATTTAATAGGTCACATATTATATTTTTATCATGGAAACGAAGAATGTTGGTCATATTAATAGAGTCTAGTTCTAGAGTACTCCAAAAATCTTCTGAGAGCCATTTCTGGTTCATGGACCTCAGAAACGGAATTGCTGTTCAAGACAGATGCAATCGTCTTTAATCAGGGGCCGAACCCGGTCCTGTGCCGGTCTGTGGAACTCGTTACTACTAGTTCGGGTCGTTTACTATTCCTATTCCTAGAGCTAAATGCTTTCAAATTCATTTGTAGCAATTTCTGTGGGACGTTATGTAACAAAGAAGCATTATCGTCTGATAATTTAGTTTACAGTAATGCTAAAAATTAAAATTTGACTGGAGTAACTAGATTGTTTCTGCAAAAGTTTCAGCTTCAGCTCAAGGTTCTCATTATTGCTAAATAAATACGAGTTTAATAAATTTGGAATGCTGATTTGTGATTCTAAATTTCAATTCTAAAACCGGATTCCAGTGCAAAACAGGTTGTCGACTCCAGTGCTAATCTGTAAAAGTTGTGTTCTGCTTAGTGCTGGTTAGAGTGAAGGTGTGAAATAGGTTAAAAACTAGCGTTTTTTTACATCATTTATTTACATCAACAACTGTATTTCGCTGCAATGCCGAATACGCAGTCATGAGCATTTCTAACTTAGACATGGCGTTGATATGTATTGTTGCCTAAATTTTACTCTGTTAATTGATTCATACAATATTTTATACCAGTGGTTTTGATTTCCTTCTCTCGGGGAGACATTTCCTATTGCTTAAAGCAGGGGAGTGCAAACTGCGGCTCGCGGACCAAATGCGGCTCACAAAGAAAATTTGTGCGGCTCGCGGAGAAGTGCCACATTTGAGTGGTTTGTCCGCGAAACGAGTTTTCAGTTCCGTTAATCTGATATCTAAAAGCAATTCCAATCTCTTCACGTCGCAAAGTTTACACTAGTACCTGAGTGCCACTGTCATATCAACAAAACTAGCTAGCCAAATTCCGTTGCAAAATACACAATGCTATAAAAATGTTTTTCTCAATAAATTCGTTTAAAGTCGGTGCGAGAATAAATTTGAATGGCAGTTTTCAATTTATGCGTTTTTTTTTATGTTGATAACCTAATCCGTTATAAAATAAACGATTGATTGATTGATTGATAAGCCTCCACAAAACAAAACAATTATAATAATGATTAATTAAAACCCGTAACAAATGTTAGAGTTAGATTTCGACACAATAAATGGGAAAAGGTACAAATTAAAAAAAAATACCAAATAAAAACTACGAACAGTATGTTTGTTCCCCTTTGGCGTTGGCCGACGAGGCTAGGCTAAACAAATACCGCGGAGAGCGTGAAGGCGGCGGTAAAGCCGCAAAAGTTGACAGCTGAGAGAGAACGTAATGTATAAAAAAGAGCACACACACACACATAGTATTCAATTTTTTTCTCCCATCGTATCAACGTCTATTCAATGAATTTCGCTATCAACACATTGTGCGTAGAAACTGGTCAATGCGATGGAAGATAATTTATTGCCGGGCCGCACGTGGCTTCCTTCGATTACGATAAAAACTGAAATAATAATAAAATGTTTCAAATAATAACGTGGACGGCGGCGCTAGAATATGTGCGCCATATTCGGCCTTTTTTAAAACACAAAAAAAAAACGATTTTAGAAGGTCGCGTATAGGTAGAGTTCCTAGGTGCAGCCCGCGGCTTCACCCAGTTCCTTTTTTAAGACCCACCTGTAATAAAGGTTGCCCACCCCGGGTTTAAGTCATGAACTTTGCTTTGCCTCAGTTTCCAATGTCAAATTATACCAGAGAGGTGTTGAATGCTTTCTACTGACTACAACAACAAAATTATATACAAAATGATAGGAAGAAATTTCAAATGGTAACGTAATCCCAGACTTCTTAATTTCAGATTTTAATCCATATAATATTACTGCGGATACTTTTATGTTATAGTAAACAGTTTTATTTAACTCCTGAAAACTTGCAACGAAAACTATATCGTTTAAAATATGCTCTCTTATATCTTCTCAGTGTAAGCTTCCAAAACAAGTTATAAAATCTGTTAGAGTTAGACTGCAAACTACCAATTCTAAGAAATGATCGTACCAATATCTCTTTTTTTACTGAAATAGACTACTGAGAAAACTCGACTTCTTCAATAGCACTGAAATTGAATAGCCCAATATATCGCTGAATGAAGCCCCAAATCTTGCAGTATAAGAGTCGGGGAAGTAGTAACATCTGTAGTATTGTAGTTTTCATGGTATTGCAATATTGTTTTTAATTTGGTGGATGCTGTGGCACTATCGCTCAATACCTCAACTCCCCATATACAAATAATAGCATGAATAAAACATCAAAAAACTTTTTTTTTTATAATTGTATTGCCTAATATAATAATTTACACCGATTAAATTTCGTAATATATACATATGTATAAATCATCTCCTGAGTCCGAATATTACGATTACGTGTGTTCACATCAGTAGAACAGCTTACCTGAAATAAGATTGAAAACAACATATGTTGAAGAGAATGAGATAAATATAAATGAAGCAAAGAGAGAAAAGTTCGGCGTTGATATATAATTTCACGCGTGTAATTAATGTCGAGGAATAACACCTATGGATGCATGTTCACTTATTGGTGCATAATGATGTAGTGAATTATAAATTGAAAAGTAACCTGAAATATTTCATAGCGACACTATATTGAATAAATATAGCTAGTCACAGAAGAATACCCAAATGTGAGGGTGAGAATCTAGTGTATCCACTGAAGTCGTCGAATCTAACTGCCCTATTTTAGACGCGGAAATTATTTCTAAATCCTCAATCTTTAAAAGTATACTCACGGCAATGTTGTTCAAAATCATCACAGCAGTCCAACTTATATCTGCATTCTGCGTTACATTGACAAGATCTACCTTTTACATATTTGCACTCGTACCTACACGACGGAGCTGAAAAACAATGGAAGTATATTATAAATCGATCTTTGTCTTATTCATACCCTGCCAATATCACGCATTGATATTTAAAGTTTATTATAGTGATTGTCAAGAAATATACTTGATTTGTCGTTTTAAAAAGCCTGGTTTGTACAGGTATATTGCCCACGTTTTCAAAATTTTGAAAGTTTAAATATATATCAAATCTTATTTCCATCGTTTTATTATAAAAGTGAAGATGAAGTTGAATAATTTACTTTCATAAAAGGCACATACACCCGCAGATCGCAAGTCGAGCTTTTATTCCGTTGCTCTCTCATTTGATATGGTGGCGAAATATTAAAAGCTTACGTGTGCATGTAGGAGGTTTAGGGTGGAATTGAGCATTCGACTGGCATGTAGAGACAGCTGATCCAGACATGATGTGGTTTTCAGCGCATTCATATTGAACCTTGTCTCCATAGTAATAGGCTTTCTTTAAGGGAGTCGCAAATCGTCCGTTGGTAGGTTTGCTAGGTTCGACACATTTGATAGCTGGCAAAAGGGATTTTGTATCGTTAAGTACAAAGTAGTTTATACAAGATTTGTGTATATAGAAGAACGTGCTCCTCAATATTGAGTGCTTCATCAGAGACCTGAATGGCGCGATCATGAGCTTTCATATTTCGTGATGGAAATATCGTTTGATCCTTATTATATATCAATATTTTTATTTAATTTGACCATTATGTACTTACGAGTGCATGTTGGAGTTTCTCTTCCAAATCCTTGTGTTCGGCAGGTCGACCTTGCGGTACCGGACATAATATATCCAGTTTTGCATCCGTATTCAACTTCAGCAGCCAGGTCATAATAAAGTTTCGTTGGTTTCAAATATCCGTTTACTGGTTTCCTCGGACGTGCACATGCTTGGCGAGTAATGACATAACGACCAGGCTGTTTTTCTTTCACGTCAGTAGCAACTAAAAATAGAAAATTAGAATTAATTCAAATAACCACAATTGTACTTTTTGTTCATTTTTTCTCAATGTAATTCCTTGTTTACCCCTGTAAAACCAGTTTTTTCCCGGTAGTACACAAATTAATCTTCCCTTCTTCAAACATTTCGATAATTGCCAGAATAAAATAGTATTTCTAAAAAAGCAAGGACAAACGCGCATACCTTTACAAACAGGTTTTGCTGGTATGAACACTCCATTTTGTCCGCAAGATGAATATTTTGCTCCGCTGATTACGTATCCCGTTTTGCAAACCCATCTGATTTTGTTGCCGTATGAATATTGGTATTGAATTGGCTTGTATTTTGCTATAGAAATCTCGGCAGGTGCCTCACAAAAAATTCCTATACAAAATCGAGAGAAATATGATAAAAAAATTATCTTGTGTCACATTTATGATATGAAAGCACCAACTGGTTAAAAATTTCGAATCCAGGGTAAAGAATGATATAAGCTTAAACTTATATATAATAGGCGTATATATAAATATATATATATATACCGGTTTCGAGGCAGATTTTTCCTAATATACTCTTCAATCCAAATAAAATCAGATAAGAACAAAATAGGAAATGAGTAACTGTATAAATTAGGCCCTCTTTTGAACCGAGTATCTGTATAGTTTATTTAATTGTATGATGAATGGTCAGAGCCTTGATAGTACTTTCCAATGCTCTATGCTTCCAGAACAACATGATATACTTTGCGCTTAATTACTTAGCATCACGATTCAATTATTCATCTTTCTTACGTTTGCATGTAGGCATTTCAACATTCCATCTATTGCCGCTGAGACATTGTATAATCGGAGAACCTTGCAGCTTAAATCCTGCATTACATTTGCATGTTACATTTTGTCCCGCTTTGTACAATCTTTTTCCGTCGACCTTAGCTGGATAGGTTTTCATATTGGGAATGTTCGGAGCGTCACAGACATCTGAAAAATTGTTTAATTATATTGTATGATACTTAAATGGATCGAATGCAGATAGCAACAGTTCGACTAAACTGATTGATTATGGACCTCGATGACCGTATGAATTGCCGTCATCTGTACCCCAAAGGTTAAAAAAAAGTTGTCATTTGAATCTTTATATGACGGTTTAATGACGGTGACGGTTTAATGATTTATGTGAAGAGTGAAGTTTTCATTGGTTTGCATTCATTGTGAATAAAAAAAATATGCATTACGTTTTTTATTTAAAAAAATGTTTTGTCATCAAAATAACAAGAAATTAAATGAGGAATTTTTGTGGTATTAATGTTGTTTCCAAACCTTTACGCAGTTTATTGCATGTTAAATAGCCTTTGTAATTCGATCATATTGAAAATATGACTTGAGATGCTAGCAATAATTCCAACATATCAAAGTAAAAAAATACATCACATACCAGAACAAATAAGAAAAGCACTCCAAATGCCGCTTGGTCTGCAAGTCGCAGTTTTTGGTCCGACCAGTTTATATCCTGCTTTACATTTCAAGGTTATTGTCTGACCAAACTCATGATATTGGTTTTCTACATTTGGAGACGGAGATATTGTACCGTATTTGACATTTTGTTGTGTACATCCAGCTGTTTAAATAAATGACAGCAAATTTGTAGGAATTTACTTTTATCGATCTCATTTTGTAAAACTTTTTCTATAATAAAACCTTGAGTCCTAAATAACATTCTTTATCTACGTCAAAGTATTAAAAGTTACTAACGCATGCAATCCGGGATTGCATTCCATTCTCTGTTAGCTTGACAGTATGAGTATTGGGATCCGATCATAACTCGTCCTTGGCTGCATTTGAACGTTAGTTTGGTACCCACTTCGTATGAATCCCCATACATAGGGGGCATGAAAACTCCGCTTTTTGACGGAAAATTAGGTTCTCCGCAACCAGTTCTCAGCTTTAAAACTAAATATAAAAAAGAAAATTGTAACCACAAAACTTCAATCTATCCAAATATAGGTTTAGTGTATGCATATGATTGAACACCCTAAAACTCGATTACATTTCATCCCGTTCAGTTCTAAATCAGGAACGTCTGTGATTTGACTTTCCCTCATGTTACATGAATACCCATTTAGTCGAAATTACAACATACCTTTACAACTACTGTATCCGTCATCCCATGATCCATCCTCTTGGCAAGTGAGAAAAGCACGACCATCCCTAACGTATCCATCATTGCATGTGACATAAACGTTGTCGCCAACCTGGAACATTTTCTCTCCTTTTTGGAGTCTTGTCACACGGAACCCATGTCTGACTGCAGGTGGTTCGCAACCGACTGGTTTCGGCTCTGCAACGAAGGGATAGATTTAGGCATACTTAGAATAAGGATGGTCGCGATAGCGTAGTTGGTAGGGAATTAACTATGCCAGCATGTCAGGTTAGAGTTCTAAGACACATCTACCGATATATACTTTCTTCGGTAGAGTTATAGGATATTTACACTTTTGTGCAAATGAACACAATATTTGAACATACCAACACATTGCGGAATAGTTTCCATCCATACTCCTCCTACTTTGCATGTAGAGTATGTGGAACCCTCCAACACAAGATTTCCCACGCACTTGAATGAAACAACTTCTCCCACTCTATAATAATCCCTTTGTCCAATAGTACCGGAAATGCCAAGCCACCGGCGACAGATGGAATCAGACATCCAGCTAATTGATGGTTTTATGAAACATTTAATCAGTGTTTCACTACTTAAGAATATGAATGAATACCTACCCGATGATTTGTTCTTTCCGTAACCGGAATATGACAGATTTGGCATATAGCAAGACCAGTTTCTTTAGTCATGAGGGTAGGGGTTGAGCTCTCAATCATTATCGTATGAGGCAATCTCGTAGTATCTTAGCGCTAACTATATTCGTGGCAAAGTTGTCGGCAGCGAAACTTAAATAGGGCTATTATTCGCAATTAGCCCTATTATATTAATAAATAAAAAAGTTTAAAATACCTCTACACGGCGAATCAATGTTTGACCATGTCCCATCTTCCATACACATGGAAGATTCCTTTCCAACAGTAATAAAACCATAGTTGCATTTGATGGTGACCTCGGTAAATGCTGCATAAGTTTCTTCTCCGTACTCTAAGGCGGGCTCAACTTCAGCGTTTTCAATAGTAAGTTTAGGACAGCCGGAACCTGCGTGACAAAAAGTATGATCAGATTTATGAAAACTAAAAGCGCAAAAAACTTTTTATGTAACATTAACATAAAAAAACTTTTCATGAGTATCCGATTCCTCATATAAATAATAAAAACACAAAATCAAAATATATGGAACTCCAGAAGTATATGCACCAAGATGGCGCACAACCTGAACATAGTATGTGTACCAGGTTGGCGCACAACCTGAACATGAACATAGTATGTGTACCAGGTTGGCGCACAACCTGAACATAGTATGTGTACCAGGTTAGGGTTCAGGTTGTGCGCCATCTTGGTACACATTCTTCGGGAGCGCCAAATATATTTATATATACCTATTGTATAAATTCCATCATCTTGAGACCTTACAGAGATTGCACATTGTAGTAGAAAGGCTACTAATATAGAAAACTTCATTGTAGAATATGTCGTTAAATATCGTTTTCTATGTTCTTCAACGTTCCAAATGATACTTTGGTGACTTGAAACAAGATGTTGCTGCTTATATAGTCACCTCGTCGACGATAAAACTGGTCAAACCATATATTCGGTCATAAATACGAGCGATGATGTTATGATCGAAATTTAATGACTATGATTTCTTATTCGATCATAGTTTAAAAATGTCAGTGATTTTACCTTAATTCAAAACATCCTACCTATATAGTTTCGCTTTGTTGAATGTTTAATTGTCATGCATGCATTGCGAGTTGTTATCAATGGCCACACAAAAACCGTAGATATGTGGCGAATCCGAAATATGTGATTAGATATAAGATTAAGCTTGTTTATAACCTCAAAACTCTCGAAATTTCATGTTTTTGCAAATAAAAATGGCATTGAATCATATTCTTAATTTACGACTGATTTAAAATCAATTCTCTTGATTTGAAGTTGTATTTATATTTTTAAGCCGAGCCTCTTGAAATAGAATTGAGAAAATCTCCATTCCCACAAATAGCGAGTAGATGGACAATTTTATGCCTGGGGCAATTAAGAGTTTCATATACTTCATAAGTGCATTCTCATCTTTTAATCGACTGGCTAATTATAACAGAATCCGACTATTTAGAGCAAAGCATCTTACAATATAGATAATTTATGTTTGATTTAATGAAACTATATCAATTTTAATTGGGATCTAATGCAAAATCAAATTGATCTAAAATTGCAGGTTTGATGAGGAATCATTAGTACCTTTATGGGAATCAATGAAGGCATTATATGTATGTACACAATGTACTCAAAGTATATTAAATTCAAAACATATTTTATAGCGGACAAAGCGATGACATTGACAACTGTACAGCAAGGCACTTGAGCTTTTACATACCTACCGGTATTCTAATTTTAATTTTTTTTTTTCAATTTTATACCTTTATCAATAATGCCCTTGAAGAATAGTAAATGTAAAAATATTTCCCGATTGTCTAATTCAATCGTCTTCAAATAAATAAACTTATTTTACAGCGTTTATAAATTATTACGTGTATAAACAAATAAGCAATATGTTAATATACCGTTTGTACAGCATATTTATCACAGCTGTGAAACTTTGATATTTTCTTTGTTGCTATATTATTTCTAAGTCAGAGTTCGCTGATTAAATTATTCTCGAATTTGTTTTCTACATTTTTATCATTTGAACGAGTTCTTGTGATTTGACTATTAGTATTAGTCAGATATAAAAGGATATTTTGATAAATTTTTGAAGTGGTATTTTTAGTGACCACAGATATAAACTTGTTTACGCATAATACAACGTCATAAGTCATTTCCGCGTCAAATTTAGTATGCTTATAACAAGAAAACTAATCGCGAGTACGTCACACAAGAAATACTATTTCTACTTTCGGAATTTTTTATTTTACTTTTACTTTTTGTACAGTAAGAATACACTCAATTAAAATACAACATAAATGACTATTTTTATGTCATTTTTATTTTTTCTGGTGAATAATTCTCACGAACAAAACATAATTAAAATTCATATAATGAAACTCTTCTATATGAGCATAGTTACGACATATAAATAACCACTTTCTTTTTGATTGTTTAATTAAAAAATTTTGCGATGACGCATTACTTACGTAAAAATATATACCATACCGGAATAGTGCCGACATGACATCAAATAATCTGAAATTTTAATATGTCAGTATGTTTTTAATGCTATTTTCACGTTCAATGCTGATTTAAGCATTGGATAATTTACCTTTATATATCCAACGTAATGTTTCTGCGATTGATATAAGCTGTAATTTACTATATTTATAACAAGAGCGCAATGATCAATATAAGCTATAAACACGCTGGAAAACTGACAAATCACATTCCGGTAGCGTGTATGCGACTTCGTTTTATGATCATTCAAAGACTTTGAATCCAAGTCGCAAATCCCGCTCTCAGCAATTCTCATCGGTAGCGGTAAGACCACAAAGATCGTCCGTCAGTGAAGGTAAGGCTTCAGAATAGTGGTGCACAACACGGGACACGCGTGCCCAATGTGGCACGCCATGAGTGCGAACGTAGCACGCAAACGTTTTGGGAACATAGTATTTATATTAAATCATATTACCTCACGTTTATATCGGAATAAACTAGATCGCTATGTTAATTCAACACAAATGTGTGGGCACCTTCGTAAAAAATTATTGAAACATTGTCAAGATCTATGGTCGGAAGACGCAAATGAATTCTTTCGAAGACCATTCAGTGTGGCTGTTGTATATGTTGATGACACTGACATTCAACTAGTACTTCCTGGGGTCAAACCAAGATTTCCAACGAAATCCTTAACTTGAGTTTCACTTTCGACTCGAAAAATAGAATTATCCAGTTTTGTTGAGAAGTGCAAAAATCTGAATTTGTCAATTTTAATTAAAGCACGTACAGTTGTGAACTGGTATTCTCAATCATAAAAATAAACAAATCTTAGCTACGAATTCGCTTGAAGCCAACCATTTCAAATTTCTGCTTTAGAGCAGGGTGATCCAAACCCAGCAAGACGGGCTTCTTCATTATCTGTGGCCCGCGTCGCATTTGCTGGAGGGTAAACAAAAAATCGCCTTTGGTTTTGCTTCGTCATAAAAATTAACCAGGAAAATCATTTGACATATCGTTACATCATTCAGAATGGAGAATATATATATATCTGATATGGGCTTTATCAAATGCGGAGTTCCACAAGGTTGTTCCATCATTGGTCCTTTGCTATTTTATATATTAATGATCTACCAGCTGCATCTCCTTTCTATTTAACGCTATTTGCAGATTCCCTGTTGAATCCGCTTCATCTTTGTCCGAACTTGAGACTGTAGTAAACACTGAAATACAAAATGTTGATATTTGGCTAAAGGCAAAAAAATTATCTTTAAATTATTCCAAAACAAAAATTATGATCTTCTGTAATAAGAGAAAATATACTACCCACTTCAAACTCTTTTTAGGCAATATCAAAATTGAGCGAACCAATAGTATAAAATATTTGGGGGGTCACGATCGATGATAATCTATGTTGGAAACCGGATATTAGTCAACTACCCAAAAAGTAATTGCAAACGGTTGGTAAATTATAGACTACGATGCATCTTGAGTTTTAAAACGATCAAAGTAGTTTATTATACTTTAATTCATCCAATTCAAGTTTTACAGAATAAAATACGTATGTGCATATTATTTTCAGAGAAGAGTCGTATAACCAACCTCATACTTTTCGACATGAAAATGACCCTTTACCTCCTGCTTTTTAATGGCTATTTCACACATTAAAAGATGTGCATAAATATAGTAATAGATCCAAAAGAATACGATCCTATTCCACACCACAAGTTTCCACTGATGTTGGGAAAGGATCTTTAAAATATATTGGTGTTCAGGTTTGGGGCGATGTCCCATCTGAAACGAAAAATTCGTCTTCATCGCTGTTTACTAATAAAATGAAAAAGATTTTGTATTCCGAAGTATTCAGAATAATAATATCTTTTTGAATTCGATATATATCAAGTGAGATATGTATTATTCATTAAGATTGCATTATATATATCAGCCTGTATACCGTTTAAAGCTTCAGAATTATCGGAAACTGTTATAATTACCGTATCCTATTTTAATAATAGTATAACATGGTGCTAATTTTTCAGTGGACATAAGGATCGTTTTGCATTATTTTTGTACACCTAGTGGAAAAAGTAAAAAGTCGCATCTTGCAATTTCAATTGACGCTGTCACAAGACGGGAACTTCTGAAAATAGGGCAGTTCCGGTACTGTAACACAGCGCGGTGACACTTAACTAATTGTCTCGTAAAAGCGGGGTTTGCACTCACTGTTATAACTAATGTCTTTTAATAGTGGTGCTATTCTTGGAATCGGTAAACTGTGCTGTACTGAGTAAAACACTGTAACATAGCAATGTAGCTGCTTCACTGTTCAGTTTTGTTCAAGATACTCTATTTCGTTGAATTGATGATGAAATATTTCGTTTCGTCTTACGTGTCCATATATTTGAGCATAACTCCCTTTTTTTTATTTTTTTTTATTTATATTGTAGCAATCAATTCTGACAGCATGAAAATGGTCAGGAGCCTCGGTGACCTTCAACGGTCTTGCATACTGACCTACACAAAACAATATGTAAATTAGATACTTTACTTTCATAGAATATTGCTTTATATTGTTTTTCATTGTTTATGGAACTAAAATCTCGCTCTCTCACTAATGTCACTGAATTGAGTAGTGTTATGGCTAGCTGAGGCAACTAGCAATGTTAAATGATGTACTTGGCTCCTGATGTGTTTTGAAATTCAGAAATAAACTTTCAGAAATAAACAGAAATAAACTTTCCTATTATAGCAACATCACAGGTAAGATCGATTTAATCATTTTTTTTTTTCAGTGAAAGTAGAAGATATGGGTTGTTCGAAAGGTTCACGAATCACGAAATTTTGCGACGTCCTAGCAAACTTCCACGAGATTGCGTCAAAAAAAGGTGGGCTATCGACTAAGTCTTTTTTAAAAGCGAGCGCTTATATTGAAATCCTGTTTAAAATTCAGGCTTGGTCTTATCTTCGGGGAAACACGGTAGAATGATGGCGCTTGCATAACAATGCATATTCTGATCGTGAAACCCGATTTTCGGGTGCTTACATAACAATGACGGCTTTAATCGTTAAGCTAGCGGTTTCTGAAGACGATTTGCTGAGCGCGCCTCGAAACATATTACATATCATATTTATTCTAAATGTTTAATTGTTTCAAATGACGTGGATTATGAATCGAAGTCATTTTATGTGTTCTATGTGTTTACTTTCTGTACGTAAGGTCTATTGTTACGTAATATAAGAGATAAACCGTACATGCTGCAATTTCGTATAGGCTGCAGTTTATTCATTTGCTGAAACGAGTTCATCAAACTTGAGTGATTTCTTTAGCATTTTAAAGAAACACCAGGCAGAGATAAAAAAAAAACGTTAACTTTTCGCCTTTATTCCTCGGGCCTACATGATTAAAAACCTCAAAGGACATTTAGTACATATTAACGATGACAAAATTGTGTTTTGTTTCAAGGCAGTGGGCCCATATTTTTCGTGTAGGTGCGCCATGAGTTTTTTCCCTGATAATTTGGCGTCGCACAAAATGCTGCCTTATGCTAAGTTTGATCAATAAGAGTGAACAATTCGAGATTAGGACCATGCCGTCGGTAGCCAGACATCGTAATTCATCACTTAGGCCTGTATAAACATACATTGAGCCTTGCTATGCAGAAGAAAGCATTCGTACCCATTACACTGAATATTTGAGAAACGTTAATCTGAATAAATATGTGCTTGTTTTTGTTATTGATTAGACATGTTAAAGTTGAGAATTAGCTGTGCCAATAAAACATCAGAAATGCATAATTCGAACAGTTTGGCATTATTTAACGTGAACAAGGGCCGCGAAAAATTTTAATATATTAAAAGGGGCCGCGAGCTCAAAAGTTTGGGAAGTCCTGCTTTTGAGCATCGAGTTTACTTCGCTAAATGAAAGGTTGACAAGCATGACGAAGGCGATCAAGCACTATGAAATAAAAAGTGTCAAGATGGAATAAAATGTTTCCTCTTCAGTTAATGGGAGATAAATTTGACCCGAAGGAATTTCGAAATAATAAAAAAAAATAATGAAATGATAGACTTTTAACGGTTTCAACCGTTTTCAAGTGCTAAAAATTTAAAATATATTGGCCCATTAGTCGCAAGCCATTACGCCAACAAGACTAACTACAACAGGGAGTTTGGAAATCCATAAAGTCTACTACAATCTGTTGTTCAATTCAAAAACTTTTAGGAAATATATCCTAAAAGTTGATGTGGCCATCAAAAATACTAAAATTATTTAATAATAAAATTCGGGGAGTTTCAAACACAAATCAACCATTTTTCCCCATATTTCGTGAACTAACTTGAGTCGATTGAAAATTATATTCTATATATTATATTATATCTAGTCTATTTTCATTCACTTACCGGTAATCTATTCCGGTACAATAAAAATTGGTTTGAGTTGTTTATGAAATCTGTCCCCCTGCAGCAACAAGAGCATTTGGCTACCATTTTCTCAATAACAGTTCCCAATGTAAACAGCACACCCAAATTCAAAACAATTATTGTTAATGTGTTCATACACAACGGAATATATTTTTATTTTATACTTTTCAACCTAAATGAACACAAAAATATCATAAAGAGGACAAAGAATTTAAACGAGTCACAAAAATAGCGAAGGAATAGATTTAATGAAGATCTCTACATATATTTTTCAATAATTTACAATTATTCATTCACATTAAAGTTTTACGGGGCATTCACATGATTCTATTTTATTAGCCTTATATTCTAATTTTTAAGTTCCAATAGACAACAATGAAACTCACACGTTGGAAATAAATAATATTTGTCATGATGGAATGGAAACTCATGCTGGCAATAATCAAAAATGATATGTAACTTAATTAATAATGAATATTGTAAAAATTTGTCTAAAGCAAAGTTTGCTGCAATCACTAAGAAAGAGGAGAAGACTTATCTAACAAAAAACTCAAGAGTTACTTTAGTAATCATAAGAGGTACTGAAATTATATAGATTTATGATGATGCATGAGCCGTCAGGAAACGTGGGCAGTTTAAGCCAATATGGTTAGGAAAACAGCGATTGGTTAGTGTATTCAACATAACTGAAGTTTCAATATAAAAATTTCTTTGTTTTGACTGCACACTGACAGTATAGGGATGAGTACTCACAGCCAAACTAGTACACAGATGAAAACTTTTATTTCAGGGACAAGTTCCGAGTGTTTACAAACTTAAGTTATTATTGTATTAAATTGAGTTTGACAATATATAAAATGTGGTGTTAAATGTACAACGTAAATTTAAGAAATAAGTATAATAGCAAGGAAACCCTAGTTTACCATCATTTAGCATTTCCTTATTTCAATAGAATAAAAAAAATTCGGGTCAACTTTATGGAATAAATAAAACAGAAAACAGGCAACAGAAAATTGAACATAAGTTAATAAAATAGTCTTCCATAGGAAAGAACCTAATATTTCTTCGCGACATTGCGAATTGTCGAATATTTCCAGGTTTCGAAAGCCTTTGTCTCAGCGAGGTACATGAAATATGGGATACAGCTTCGAAGAAAAGAAACGCCTCATAGCTGGTTTTCTGGCTCGTGGTTTTGCTGTGATTACAAATTATCTCTATAAATCATCAACGCCATACTGAAAAAGGCAAAATAGTTAATATTCTGACACGTTTGAACAATTGCTAATATCTTTCATAACAAAATAGAGCTGCTATGTATTTATCGTAACGTAATGAATGCTACTAGAAAAATTCCACTATTGAAACGGACAAACACTGAAATTTCATTTAGAAATAACTTCGAACTTTTTTCCCAAAAAATCTCCAACGTCAAAATCCATGAAAAAGCTCTTTAAATAATATTCTGTTAATGATTCCGGAATTTAAGCTGGAATTTCTCTTTAACAATATACGATTTTTGTTCTTTAGTGCCCTCTATCAGTAATCCGCTTGCTCTTGAGTGTGGACAAGCGGCAATATTTTGACTAAAGTAAATTGAAACGCATAACAGGTACGACTACCACATGCTCAAAATATCACCAGTGTTGATAAAAAGAAATAATTTAGACACCTTTGCATGTAGGTTCATTTTTTATATCAAAAGTTCCATCATCTTTGCAAGTTGCCATTTTGTCTCCAGAAAAATTGAAATTATTAGACGAACAAGTGAATCGCACAACCGTGCCGACCGAAAAACCATCCCTTCGTGGTCTAATCACAATTCTTCTGTTCAGTGATTCTGGTCGCCTACATTTGATAGGTTCTGTGGCTAAATGTGAGGTAAAAATCAAAATGTTAGATGGCAAAACGTAATTATAATATTGCATGTAGTATAATGTTATCGTTTTTGATGTGCAAAATGGCTTGACATTTTAAGCAATCAGTATCTGCAAGCATAACTAGATTTACGTTGTTGGTAAAAGTATAAAAACGCTTTTACAAGTGCTTGAAGCAGTGCTATTTTGTATCTTTTGGTATTTTGGTTACCGCTATATTGTGTAGGGTAGGATTTAACAGAATACTTTATCTTACAATATAAAATATATTCCTCAGGAAAACAGGTTAGCCTGTACACAACAGGCTTCTTTAATAAAATTTAATAAACATATATATCACAACATTATTTAGCTGCGTTGATAGTATTTCACTAACTTCTTACAATTTACGCATGTTGGCACTCTGTGAGTGAAATCGCGATTTTCTTGGCAAATATCGAACGTTAAATTTCTTGGTTCCAGAACTTGATGAGGTTTACACTTGTATTTAATTTTTTCACCGATTTCATATTCTTGTTTTTCCGGAGTCATTATAACAGTAGAAGAAGGAGGTCTCACACAGAATGGATTTCCTATAAAACGAAAAGTTCATTTATGCCATCTTATAATCTTATGTTTTCCATGATAAAAAGCTCCATTTCTAATAGATTTTTTAAGGAAAGTCACTCAAAGCAAGTCTGCGCGCACGCATTGTGAAACAAAAAAGATTGATTTTGAGAGAAATCAAGGCGATCATTAAAAGGAAATTCCCTTTTAATGGTCGTTTTAGAGTTGCGTTTTAGTGAATACCAATTAGGCGAGACATTAAGCAGTTCATTCGAATACGATGATTCGATTTTAAATCCCATAAAATTTCTTCCATCCAAGATCCAGTTAAACTTTGTACATTAACACCATTACAAAATGGCATATACTTTAGCATATAGGCGATAAATTGTAATTATTTTGTCTTACGTTCACAAAGAGGTTCGGGTCCTTCCAATTTGCCATTCTCTTCACAAATTTGGCGAACGTCTTCTTTCAGAGTGTATCCGTGATTGCATGCAAACCTTACTTGTTGGCCGACTTCAATATGTTTGCCTCCTGGTTTAACAGATCCATTTTCCGGAGGATTTTCATTTTTGCAAACTGTAATATACGGGCTGATTAACTGTCTGATCAAATCATTGCAAATCGTTTGTAAATCAGAAAGCAAAAGCGGACGACAAAATTATTAAATCGCAATACTTCACACATTTTTTAAACAACTCGTCGACTAAACACGAATTTTGTAATTTCGCAAAATAATGTAGATATTGTTAAAAAAGATGAATCTATAAACGGCGTCTACTTACCAACACATTCTGGCAATTTGGTGAAGTTGCCATTTCTCTTGCACGTTGCCGAGTTCGGTCCAACCAGTGTAAATGGAGGTCTACATATGAACACCACGGTAACATGTTGATAATATCTATCATGATACGGTTCTACTCTTGCTTTTGCAACTGAAGGTCGGCGGCAAATAGGTCCTGATCGCAGGGGATCTCTGTCTGAATAAGCAAAAAATACTATTATTTGATATTCAATGCAGACTGTCACGCATGAATAATGGAATGGCTTATCAAGCTTCTAACCCGAGATCTCTGTAGCAAAACAACAAAATGTTGGTTTCGCACCACGCGGGTAAAAGTACTTTCAATCACCCTTTTCTATGTATAAATCTGATCATTCTATAACCTAAAAATGTGAACAATAGAAATAAATCATCTCACCTCTCTTTCCCCTTGCTTCTATCATCGAAAATGAACAAAACCAAAAAACGACCAATACCAAAAAAACATTTCTCTGCATGTTTATTGTTATTTTGATAACCTGTTCTTCTCAAACAAATAAAGAAATGTGACATAAAAAAACACCAACTCAATGTTATATCTCAACGACTTACGAAACTATTAAACAAAATGCGTCTAACCACTCCAAATCGCACGTCATCTATGAAACAATAATCGAGAATTGTAAGAATCAATCAGGATAATTAAAAAAGTCACTATAAATTTTAATAGTTGAAACAATGAAATTCAACTTAATACTTGCGACACGTCGTCGCAAGCTTATGGATTGATATTCGATACAGCGTGAAATTCAGACTCGACTGACGCATTTATTGAGGTAATTATACATGAAAACGCTCATTCAACTAGATATTACAAAATGCTCCAAGTAATTTTCTCGATTTCATACAAGTAATTACAATAATAAGAAGCTGATTCATGACTGATAAGCGTTATATTAAATATGCACTTAAGAAATATGATTTTTCAAATTGTAAAGTTAATAAACAATTTGAAAAGGTTTTTGAAAATTCGTACTCAAACAAGACAAACGAGGCTTTATACAAGCAACTCACAGACGTTTCGGCCCGAAATACCTAGTATGTCTATCTTTATTACAATCAGTGAAAGTGAAGTATTTTGTTATTTTATGTTATTGTTTATTTTTCGTTGTTCCAATGAATGAAAGTGAAAATCTCAACACAAATAAACAACACGATACTTGATTTGTGAACGTTGACTATATAAAAACTATAAGTACCGAACGTTCTGAAATGAAACGTACAAAAAGCGACAACCAAAGGCAAATAAAAAAAAAAAGAAATGGGTAGAACACATTAAATCATAGAGTTAAGGCGTAAAACTTTCATAACCAACATTTACTGGAACCGTGGGTCGAAACGTCTGGTCCAAAACGTCTGTCATACCATACAAGCAACGCTCTTTCGACTGCGCCATCGTTCATTACTTACCGTATAATATGATTACCAAAAATACAAAATAATGAAGTTGTGAAATGAAGAAATGAATGGATAACAGATAATATTTATACAATATCCATTTTAATATAATGCAGATCCAATAATATTTTCTTCGAATTTTTTCGGAACGAAGTTGTGAATAAATCGCCCAAATAATTTGAAAAGACATCAACTTTGATTTGAATTGTTAGCGAATTTACCGCGCTTTTTAAGTAATACTTCGTTGTAGATTATAAATAGTATATAAAGTTTATGTCATATTTTAGAACTTTCTGAGCAAACAATATTTTATGATGTACAAAAGATCATTACAGTAGATGTGTATTTTCCAGCATTCAGATAAATATTGCAACTGAATGAAACACCTTGGTCTCCTATTTAGTTGAAGCAGTTGCTCTGACCGCAAGATGTCAGTCATCAGCAATAAAATTGTTCAGAAATATGCGCACATAGTACTACATGAAAATCTGTGTGTATCTGCTGTTGAGCCAATTGGTAATGATATCTGTAACACTTACATCATATATGTATCAGTTAAAAATTGTTCAATAATGTAAAGATAAGAAGCCATGTAATTTTAAAATATTCAAAGATAATGAATGGTGTTTTAGACAGGGCCTTCTCTTCAATGCGTCTTTTTGTAACAATACCATACCGAATGCATGTCTCTTCAACTTCAACATACGTTGATAGGTACACATCAAAGTATTATTAATTTATCACAGATACGCATCTGTTGAGCTGACCCGAAAGGAGCTCTCTGAGCAGCTTTTAACTCATTTCATAACTTCATTCCAAAAAAAATATTATAATAATGAAGGGATAAAATGATGAAATGCGATTGGTTTTATATTAATCAATATATAATTCGAAAATGAATTCACGAGTTTGTTATTTTTCAAAGTACTAAATAAGGTGAAATAATTAACTGTAATACTTGATGTACTTGGTGGCAAAGTATAATTTCTGATATGGACATGTCAAGTAATTCGTAAAAATATTTACAGAGCTAGAAAGCCGTGACTGCTACTAAAAGTAGGTAATGCAATACCGAGAATAACATGAGAAAAACAAGATGGAATCAATTAATTGGCTTGCATTATTTTTGATTAGTTAGAAAACAGTGAATTGTAAGTTAATATTAAGAATCCGTGTTGTAGCGAAATAAAATACTTTTATGTTTTAGCAGTTGGACTAACAGAACAAATTATAACAAAAAAGATCTAATGCAATAATCCCATTCTATCAGTAACACGGATAGTTGAATTTTCAATAGTTTATCGTCTCAAAATTAGTAGCAAAACATTTTCGTTGTGGTAATTCAAACATTTATTAAAATAAAATTTACATAACTTTCCGCGTTAATTAGAAATCACGAAAACAGAATAAAAAAAGTTAAACCCTCAACCCGAACATTTCGTATTGTAATTCAATTTAGCTTCTACTGTTAAGAACGAAAGGTCAGATCAATAATCCAATTAAAAATTTGGGAAAAAAATGTCAATTTGATTCCTATAATTCTATGTAATTATTTTGTAGAGCGATCACGTTTTTTAAAAGGATTGTTAAATAATTTTACGAACATTTCAAGATGGAATTCCTGAAACCTTATAAATTGGACTAGAACAAGCTTATTAAAGTTGAGTGCCTTTCGTAACTGGAAGTAACAAAAATGCGCATTATCATAATTTCAAAACATACTTTTGCTATTTCACGTTGAGGTCACAAACGGTAACAATGTCTTTAAACTAAACTTTTCATACTAGCAATATTCAAATGCAGAATACGCACCGAAAACTGACTTTTCAATTCAGATTTAATTAACAACAATCATTTTTGAATTTATGCTTTACTAAGTGTGAACATATACAGAAGGAAATGACTGCAGAGAAATATATTTTCGTCACTCTACAGCAATTACACACTTTCGTTAATTGAATTTATACATACATAAAGAAATGACCCAAAGGTGATTTTCAGACCCAAACTGAGCATATAAATTATTTTGCTAAATTCTGGTTGTTGTTGTTGTTAAGAAGAAATAGCTTTTCTTTAAAACTCACGAACCAATTGTTTTCGATATTATCAGTAGTTAAAAAAAGAAAGAAGTAGCGAGACGTCTTCTGAGCCTTATGGGAGGGACCCGATATTTCATTCAAAGTTATACTTTATTAAAAGAAGTAAACTCATTATTGCATCGTACTTGGCCGCCTCCGTAACGCAACCTTCAGGCACATATATTTCAACATCACTATCTTGTTGGACACAAAGTGCACCTATAGTTGTTTTGGTATTATTACTATTAATATGTTGTTGTTGTTGTTAGTATTCTTGTTGTTGTAACGTCATCAAAATTTGCGCACCTTGTGACCGTTTCGTTTTCGCGATTTTTGCAATATGGTGATCAGTCGAAGTCGGGAATACGGCGCTGTCCAAGAAATTGGGGGTAAAATATTTTGTTTTGGGTTTCGTGTTCATATTTTTGGGCATAGCTCTTTTGTTTATATTCAAGTAATATTAACCCTGTCTGAAATTATGATTTAAAAAAAAAAACATAGGACAATTTGTTCCACAACATTTACTTACTGTAAAAACATTACCATTTCAATCTCAATATTTGTCAGCGAATTTGAAAAATGGTATTTAGGATACATATTGATTTTGTACGTAGTCCTGCGAGTCCGCAAATTATTTCATGCTCCATTTATATCATAACTTGACAACGTTTATACCAGGTACAAAATTAAACCTAAGGTTTTATAAATTGAGGAAACTTTTCGCAGTGAAGGAGTTTTGAAAATACAAGAACTTTTGAATAACATGCGAATACAACCTACTAAATATTGCAGTAATTTTAAGTTCAATATCTAATATGTTAAGTTACAGGACGTTAATTAAAACGTTTTTCAAAATATTAATAATGGGGCAAGCCAGAAAGGTACGATATCGCGCAGGTGTATAACACCTAATGACGATAAAAACATGAAAATCGACATATAAATTACACCGCAATTATGACAGAAAATTTATGCAATAATTACATTTGATTTTACGTCAAGAATTAATTACCATTCCACTCGAAACTACTTTACCGGCAAATTACGTCAGGAATGCTCAATAGCTTTTTGACTTCGGCGAATGCGATTAAAATTTCTTTTTACATAATTTATTCTTAAATTTCTTTTTTAGCTTATTTTTCATATAAATCTTAGCTCAAGATACTCTATATAAACCGAAAAATTTAAACTTAATATTAAGAGCTTCAGTTTTAATCAAACAAAAGCGCTGAAAAAGATGAAGATATTTCTTGCAACTCTTATGCTAGCCCTAATTGGGTTTGGCTCAACAACATTTTATTTCCCCAAGCTTCGTTGTAAGTACATTTTATTTATTTTTTAATTTCATGTTATTGGAGTATTGAAACGAAAACAATTCGTGACTAAAAGAAAAATTACATAAATTCTATTTAATTCATATCTTTCTATTTGCAGTTTGCAGCCGCCCAGCCATTGCAAATGCTTACCCGCTCAAATACAAATTGTACGGAAACTTCAAGTATGCATACGTAAAATGCCGCAGCGGATACAAGCTTGATAAAAGTTCAAAGATTCAGTGCAAATACGGAAGATGGTATGCCAAAGGTGGTTTGCCAAAATGTAAGTGTAGAAATATTAAACTATGGTTGTTTTTATAATACTGGACACTAAAAAAATATCATTAACAAATCAAGAATAGATTATATGTTTTTATCCGAATTACTTTTTACTAACCTAGATGTCTTAAGATAAAATTGAATAACACTTATGTGTATAAAATATTTATATTTATGTATAAATCAGCTTTTTGTATTTGAATAATTCGCAACACAAGAGAATGCGAAAGTGCTAAATACCATACATATTGGCTGAGATTTGAAAAATTCAATTTTATTACAGGCATTCGAACTGTATACTGCAAATATCCAGGAGCACCAAGCAATGGTTACATCAGTTCAAAAAAAGACACTTATCCAGTTAATTACAAAGTTACTTGGGGTTGTAACTCAGGTTACGTCAGACACGGCGGTGCATATTATGCGATCTGCCAATCAAATGGACAATTCTCTGCATCTAAACCATCTTGCAGAGGTGAATATTTTGTCTTTTTTTTATCAAATATAAATAAAGCAATGTTAAAATTTAGCTTTAAAGTACAAAGTTGAGCTAACTAGCATAGAAGTGTATTGACGTGGGCTTGAAAAAAATTTTTCAATGCAAACAACGTGCGCACACAAAATAAAAATTTCTTGCTATTTGTGTGAAAAGTTTGAAGGCTAATTTATGTAATAGCATATGATGGCATATGAATAAGCTGTGGCAATACTGACTTATTAAATACAATTCTACGGACAGTAACTACCCATGGCATTATTTACTTAATATTGCATATTTTTGAAATATATGGCGGTGGTCTCAAAATACTTAAAATACTATTTCTTGTAGCAATCACCTGCTCCAGACCTGATGTTCCGCAATACGCCAAAATTAGTCCAGATAAATCAAGCTACGATGTTTATACCAAAGTCAAATATACCTGCGACGGTGGTTCTGTCATGAGTGGCTCATCATCCAGGGTTTGTCAAAAGAATGGAAAGTGGAGTGGAAGTGCACCAAAATGTAAAAGTAAGAAATATTTTTTTAAATTTTGTCAAAAACGCTTTTAAGAATAGAAGAATTGAATAGCTATTAATGAACGCTCGGAATAATCCTTTCAATTGTTTAAATTTTACTTTAATCAAAAAAAAGTATTCAAATAACATTTTCAATTACCAAACGTGAAGTTTGCATATTTTGAATATCAGGAGTCAAATGTGAAAAACATATGGGAGGAAAAACAGTCGCTTCGGTCGTCCCAGATAAGGATTTCTATGACGTTGGTGAGAAAGTTGTTTTCTTGTGCAAGAAGGGATACTACATCAGCGGAAAACCGGGTGATTTCTGTGAAAGTGGACCCAAGTGGAGGTACGGTTCATCAGCAAAGACTGTGTGCAAAAAAGGTAAGTATCTGTTTTGATAAAATATTCGATTGCTTGCCATAAACCGCCCGAAAGATATATATATATATCAAATAAAAGATGGCAATTCAAGCGTATATGCAATAAATGCCTCCTGAAGTAGTCTGTAGACATAAATTACCATTACGAGTTTCACTGATTCAGTCTGATATTGTAATTTCAGAATCTCATCCAGGGCCGGATTTATATTGTCGACTTCCTAAAGTTGATTCTGCTGTCGTTGCCACTCCAGACAAAAAGCTATACTTGCCAGGATCTATCGTGAAGCTTTCATGCAAAAAACACCATGAATATGATGGTGACAGAACTGCCATATGTGGATGGGACGGACAATTCCATCTTACTGCAAAACCAAAATGCACTCCAACGAAATGTAAGTATTATCATAGTCGTAGAACGAAGCTTTAGTCAGTATCGGCGTAAACATGAGTCGCAACGCACTTCTATAGAATAAAAAATTATTAATCCTGCTTCGAATTTATTTTTGTCTCATAAGGACTGACCTTTTTACTCTTGCTGTTTAATTGTCCCAAACTTTGCCAAGTCTAATCGTTCTATATTTATGCGAAACATGGGACATTAGTGAACTCTCAATTGCTTCAACAGTAACAGTGAACCAAGTAATTTCTGTTTTGCTAATCTCTTTGAATTTCAGTTTCATATTATTAACATTTTTCAGATTATTATTAAGAGATGAAACAAAAAGGAAGTTTGAAGTACAACATCCAACCGATGCCCACACCATCTGTTTTAGATTACATAGAATATAATACATCAGTAATTTGTTATGAAATAAATGAATTTGTGCACAGGTAGATGTTTATTTATGTTTCTGCTTGTATTGAAATAATCAGAAAAATAGGTGGCGTGTTTGTATAAGAAAATTGAAATCCATACTACTTTTCTTAAATTGATTTTATACGTAATTTTTTCACGCGGCAATACCGAATCGTCAACGCGTTGACATTTCTGACCAAATAATATCATGTGTCTATGGCAATCATAGATAGAGTTGAATATCAATGCGACGCTCAAGGAGCCTCCGCGTAATAACCGGTTGGGTTGGTACAGCATAGAATTAATTTGTACAAATTTAGTAGTGCTAAAACATTGCTGAGAAGAAAAGATCAATGCCATTTATCTCCATCGTTGGGAAATTTATTATAATTTTACTTAAATGGTCAACGTCACGGCAAAAAAAGATGTCTTATTAAAATATGTTCCCGAGAGTTGTAGTTATCCAAACAAAAGTGAAATAAAAATAAACACAAATGAACTTCACAAAACACTGATAAATATCACAACCAGATTTTAATGAAAATTAAATTAAGTATACATATATATATACAGTGATGGTACTCAGAAGCCGCGCACCCGTTGTTAGAATGTCGTGATAATCAAAGAACCTGTCCTTCTTTGTTGTTTAAAACGTTAGATAACAACAGCAAACGGGCAGCGGGCACACTACACAGCATCGTTATATTTGAAGTTCAAAAATATATGCAATATATGTATGGAAAACGTGTCACTTTAATGAAGCTTCCTTAATGTAGTAACATATATTAATAACTGAAAATGAGAACCTGGTCCTAAAATTTTGAATCTCATCATTACATACCAAATGCATAAATTTTTAACACTATTATACCAACGAATTACCGGTCAGCTTACAAATAATTAAAAAGCTGAATGTTAGATTAAAAGCATTTTCTATGAACAATCGAAGGACCAGCTTCATCATATTCTTGCTTTGAAATCCACATTTGTTGGAAGGTTGAGAGAGAAGCCAAGATCGATCCTCCAATCCATACAGAATATTTTCTTTCCGGAGGAGCGATGATCTTGATTTTCATTGTACTTGGTGCAAGAGCAGTGATTTCTTTTTGCATACGATCAGCAATACCAGGATACATTGTAGTTCCTCCAGAAAGAACGTTGTTGGCGTACAAGTCCTTACGAATGTCAATGTCGCATTTCATAATGGAGTTATATGTTGTTTCGTGAATCCCGGCAGATTCCATACCTGGGTAAAAAAATATTAAATATTACGTACGGGACACATACTAGGCAAAAAGAACTCTTCATTTCTCGACATCAAATTTTTACTTCCTTTTATGTGTTTTTTTTCATACTTCTATTGGAAGACGATAATAATTAATTCCTATTCACGGAATAAACAAATATATATATATATATATATATGTTTTAGAATAATATTTCTTACCGATAAAAGACGGCTGGAATAGAGTCTCTGGGCATCGAAATCTTTCATTTCCGATAGTGATAACCTGTCCATCAGGAAGTTCGTAACTTTTTTCAAGTGATGTTGATGAAGCAGCTGTTGCCATTTCTTGTTCAAAGTCAAGAGCAACATAACACAGCTTTTCTTTAATATCACGAACTATTTCACGTTCAGCGGTTGTAACGAAAGAATATCCTCTCTCAGTCAGAATTTTCATCAAATAGTCAGTAAGATCACGACCTGCCAAATCCAATCTAGCAATGGCGTGAGGGAGTGCATACCCTTCGTAGATTGGTACATTGTGTGAAACACCATCGCCTGCATCCATAACAATGCCTGTAGTTCTGCCTGATGCATATAAAGATAAAACAGCTTGAATAGCGACGTACATCGCTGGAACGTTGAATGTTTCAAACATAATTTGTGTCATTTTTTCTCTGTTTGCTTTTGGATTCAATGGAGCTTCAGTTAAAAGTGTTGGATGTTCTTCAGGCGCGACCCGTAGTTCGTTGTACATTGTATGATGCCAGATCTTTTCCATGTCGTCCCAATTAGTAATTATTCCGTGTTCAATCGGATACTTGAGAGTGAGGATTCCTCTTTTACTTTGGGCTTCATCACCGACGTAGCTGTCTTTCTGACCCATTCCTACCATCACACCTTGATGTCTTGGTCGTCCTACAATGGAAGGAAACACAGCTCTTGGCGCGTCATCTCCAGCAAATCCAGATTTTACTAAACCTGATCCATTGTCACAGACAATTGCGGTTTGATCCTCTTCGCCGTCAGACATTTTGTTATAGTATTTTAAAAAAGTAAATGTTGTTTAGAAACCTATGAACACTGCGAATAATGAATATTTTCAAAATACTCGATATTTATACATGTTATACGCTCCAAAAGAGCTAATATAACTTCTCAGCTGCTTGTGAGAAAGTCGCACAATTACCTGCGAATTAGCACAATTTATAGACACCTACAATCGTAAGCAGTTGTCTTTGGATCATATGCTACCCTAAATGCCAATTGCCTTTTATACGTTGATCCCATTTTAAGCGTATTTGTTCCATGTCTATTTATTTCCAATGCTTCCACGAAAGTTTACACACAAATCATAAGGATCATTTACTTCGTAGTAATGGGACCACTGTTATCCCTGAATCACACATTATATCTTATCATCCGTTTTCAAAGTTGCATGTTCATCGTTTAAGCGCTATAGACTTGTGTCGTACTACCTATTTATTAATAATAAATGATAATAAAACTGTAGGAAAATAGCCAGTATGTCCTCTAGTATTGTTTTTTTTTCTGTACCAAGGTGCATTAAATAATTCAAAATTGTCAACCAAATTTGGTTTTATTTCTAGCTATCGGTGATGTATTTGATACCAAGCATTCAGTCAATATCACTTCTCAGACTGCGTAAGAATGCAATCTCTAGTCTGTCTGGCGTAAAATGGATTCAGGCAATCAAGCCTTGATAAGATGATTCTGGGGCCTTTTTGGTATTCATACAAAAACGTAATCCTATACACAGGGAAACAGACTTTGTAAGATATAAGTCAAATTTGCAAGCAATCCTAGCAGCTAGACTGGGGTTGGCAAGGTTTATGGACCAGGGGCCAAAATTTCGCCCAGCTAAACTGGCGGGCCATGTGATTATGACGTGGAATGTTACATTTTGAGAACAGAATTTTATTTACAGTGTTACAATTACAAAAGTGGAAAACAATAAGCCTCTTGCCAAAACTAAATTTAATTGCAATCTCACAAAAATCCTTGGAGCTTATAATTTTAGCTAAAACTTAAAAATTAGGTTTAAGTTTGATTGTGACAACTGTCAGAACAGATTTGAAATGAGTGTCATTCAATTGAGATCTGTGTTTAGATTTGTTGAAAATTCATCAGACTGAAAGTCAGTTCACTCACTCATGTGGACAAAAATTAGTCTTTAATAATTTAGCTATCAATCTTCACGAATTAGGGTGCTGTATGGTGGCCCATCGTTTTCACGCCTAAAATTGAAAAATAAAATAAAAAACTTGAAACAAAAGTAAAAAAAAAAGTTTCTAACTCACTACTGATTTTCTTGAGCAATATTCAATAAATTCAAAACGAAAATGTTCTATGAATTCTCCATGCTACAAGTTCAACCGTAAATATATACTACTACGATTCAACTAAAAGTAATATATTTATAATAATGAAAAGAGAATATAGAATTGAGTACGAAAATTCGGGAAATTTGTTTTTACGTGTAGAAGGTAATTGAATTGGAGAATGCTGCATACCGTATACGGCATACCGTAGAGCCGTAACGTACCGATCCAGACGAATGATAAATCGCGCGGGCTCAACCATTTATTTCAATTCATCCATCGACTCACCATATTCAAGTTTATTTATTTCCAAACAATAAAAAAACAATGATAACAATATTCAAAAAGATAACCACACAGTTTTACTTGGGAATGGAAGCCGCGGAGAACCAAAGCTGGTTATACAGCAGCGACAAGCAAGCTTCTAATAGCTAATTAAAACATCGGGACTTTAACTTATGGGACTGCTGGTATTATCGGTGAATCGAATTATCTAATTAACCTCTCTTACTACTATAAAGATAGGTAATATTGGAGAGACATCAGGCCACATACGGACAGAAGATTCCACGCTTCAACCTCCTAATAACCAAATCGAAGTGCTTCTGTCTCGAAAAATAGTTTGGGGGATTTTGAATGTGACCTAGCCATCCACGTGGTTTTAGTAACTAGTGTTGAACGGTGTGCAGTGATAAAGAAAATCAGATACCGTAAATCAAGTAGAGTTGACACCGTACATTTCTATAACAAAGATGTGGTATACTGTGTTATGGCTTCCATCTGTTCTTCGAGTTCACGACACAACATATAATAGCGATGAGAATGGGGTGCTCGTTTGCTACATTACGATTATACAGTAAAATACAAATCTGGGGCTGAAAATAAATTTGCTGTTGCTCTATCCGGATTACCCCTGAATTCTACCAAAAAAGGGGATTGCGAAGATGATGTTATGTGCAATTTTCTGAATACTACGGATACTGATTTATTCATTTCATTAATTGAATTGCAAGAAGCTACACGTAATGATGCTATGCTGTCTAAAATCTAAAATGAGAGGTTACATTTATAATGGATGGCCTTACAAAAAAGATGTTTATTCTGCCTTACAAACATCATGTACGCGATGAGCTAACAGTTTACAAAGAATTGATAATTGGAGGTGAAAGAATCTTTGTTCCTAATGCTCTTACTGCTAAGTTAATTAATCTTGCACACATGACGCATCAAGGAATTGTCCGTACTAAACAAAGATTACGATATCTATACTGGATGAAAGGTATGGATAAACAAGTTGAAGACTTTATTCGTCATTGCTCTGTCTGCAATACTCATGATAAATCTACTAAACCTGTATTCGCTTCATTGAAACCTGTTCCTTCGCCTAAACATTCTTGGCAAAAGCTTGATATTGATATTGTGGGACCGAATGAAAGTGCTCCTGCTGACTGTCGTTTTGTATTTACATTGATCGACCGGTCTTACTACTTACTGAATACAGCGCGAAACACCGAAAAGAGCGCAAAGCAGCGTGAAACAGCGCAAAACAGAGGAAAACAGTGTGAAGCAGAAACAAATTTTGCAATGAGTTCGGGGCACCTTGTTTTGAGTTGGAGTTCCACGGCAGTAAATTAAAAACACAAACCAACGTATGTAGCCAGTAATGCTGTAATGGCAGGTCTGCCCCTGCTGGTGACACATTTTGGGTACCATAATTTAGAACATTTTCCATATGGATATGGTTGGCTTTAGGGTTAGGTAAAAAGGGACCTCCAGCAGAGGGAAACAGTGTGAAGCAGAAAAAAATTTTGCAATGAGTTCGGGGCACCTTGTTTTGAGTTGGAGTACCACGGCAGCAAATTAAAAACACAAACCAACGTATGTAGCCAGTAATGCTGTAATGGCAGGTCTGCCCCTGCTGGTGACACATTTTGGGTACCATAATTTAGAACATTTTCCATATGGATATGGTTGGCTTTAGGGTTAGGGTTAGGTAAAAGGGGACCTCCAGAAGTATGTGCACCAAGATGGCGCACAACCTGAAAATAGTATGTGTGTGTTTGTGTGTGTGTGTAGCGGATTCAGGTTGTGCGACATATTGCACATACTTCTGGAGCACCAAAAAGTTAGATAAAATTTCGCATGATGACCTATAATCCGGTACATAACCTTGTAAATATGCCGGAAATAGCGCCATAAAACCATGGCGAGAGGCGCCGTGGTTCTTTCGTGGCAGGAGGTGGTAATGACTGCGTCTCCTTTTTTGCGCTGTTTCCATCTGTTTTGCGCTGGTTTCCTTCTGTTTTGCGCTGGTTTCCTTCTGTTTCGCGCTGGTTTCCTCTGTTTTGCGCTGTTTCGCGCTATTTTGCGCTGTTTCGCGCTGTTTTGCGCTCTTTGCGGTGTTTCGCGCTGTATTCAGTAAGTAGTAAGACCCTTGATCGACTACTACAGCAAATGGCCTGACGTTATGTTTACTTCGAAAGTACGTCAGAGAAATATTAAACATAGTTAAGATGCTATTCAACAATTTCTTTGTATATATATAGATGCACTAAACATGCTACTACTGGACATTCTCCTTCTCTTCTGCTACACAATAGACAAATGAGAACTGGTCTTGATATTCCTGAAATTCACAATATGATGAAAGACTGGTCAAGTAAAAAAGTGTACGAACATGTTATAAAGAAACAAAATGCAAGTAAAGAATATACTTATGAGAAACGTGGTGCTAAACAACTTGATTTGAATATTGGTGACTATGTGAGAATTAAAAAATCTAGTCATGTTGCAAAAGGTCAAATTATGGTCGTAGATCAAAATTTCTTCTTGTGCTAATCCTAAATCTGTACAAAATGATGCTTTCTCTGATTCTCATGATACTGTGATACCTGCTATTGATAATACTGCTGATGATAATTATGACACTGTTAATTCTGAATTTGCTCGTAGAAGCTCTAGAATTTGTGTACCTCCAAAAGGGCATAGAGATTATCAAATGTGATTTGTGCATGCTTATATTGCTTTTGTATATTGTAACTCTCATTATTATGGCCAATAAATTATTAGCCAACTAACTTTAATATACCGACAACGATCAAGTTGTGTTCCGAAAGAAGTAGCCTACTTCTGCATTGGTCCACTAAATATCTTTTTTCTGTCCAATGATCTAAAGATGACCTTAAATCAAAAACGGCAATATAAATCGATTTATTTTATAGCCCATACATGCAACTTTGAAAAAATTTGTTAACTGTTCCACTACTGTGAAAAGTCTTTTACTTGGGACAGATTCTTGCAATATTTGTTCCTGCCAGCTCTGTTTTCTTTTAATGATTATAATTGAAAAGTTAAAATATCGTATCGCGTAATTCAGTGCATTTGTAGATCTTACTTAGAGTATCCGACACAGAATCGAAGCAGTTCATTTACATGAGTATTCAAATCAAATTTCGGGACTTGTGACTGTACAATCCGAATTTGGCTGACTCAACAACAGCGGATTTCTCATAGGTTCGCCTTCTACAGATAGTTGACAATTACACATAAACTGCGCAATGAACAAATTCCAGCTTGGATGATCAGTAGTAATAAAAGATACATAATGAAATTTCAAAATGTCTATTAACAAACTCCTAGCTGTTGGTAAAGAGTATTTATGAAAACAAACGTTTTGAAGATATTACAAATAATTTATAAAATTGTATTTATTTTAATAATAAGTTACCATGTTAAAGTAGTCAATTTAAAAGCATTTTCTGTGGACAATGGATGGACCAGCTTCATCATATTCTTGCTTTGAAATCCACATTTGTTGGAAGGTTGAGAGAGAAGACAAAATTGATCCTCCAATCCAGACAGAATATTTTCTTTCCGGTGGAGCGATGATCTTGATTTTCATTGTACTTGGTGCAAGGGCAGTGATTTCTTTTTGCATACGATCAGCAATACCTGGATACATTGTAGTTCCTCCAGGTCCTTACGAATGTCAATGTCGCATTTCATAATCGAGTTATATGTTGTTTCATGAATGCCGGCAGATTCCATACCTGAATAAATTATAAATGGCGAACATCACAAACATAGTCTGAGATAGGAACCTAAATTTAATACTAATAAATTTTAAAATATCACAAACTTTTATGGTTTAGTATGGTAAACCGTATATATCAAATCACCCCGTACTGCTATTAGAATGAGCGATTTATTATCAGTGTAATTAGATATTTAGTCCTTACCAATAAAAGAAGGTTGAAATAGAGTCTCTGGGCATCTAAATCTTTCATTTCCTATAGTGATGACTTGTCCATCAGGAAGTTCGTAACTTTTCTCGAGTGATGTTGAAGAAGCAGCTGTTGCCATTTCTTGTTCAAAGTCAAGAGCAACATAACACAGTTTTTCTTTAATATCACGAACAATTTCACGTTCAGCAGTTGTAACGAAAGAATATCCTCTCTCAGTCAGAATTTTCATTAAATAGTCAGTGAGATCCCGACCGGCCAAATCCAATCTAGCAATAGCGTGAGGCAGAGCATAACCTTCGTAGATTGGTACATTGTGTGAAACACCATCATCTGCATCCATAACTATACCCGTAGTTCTTCCGGATGCATATAAGAACAAAACAGCTTAAATCGCCACGTACATTGCTGGAACGTTAAATGTTTCAAACATAATTTGTGTCATTTTTTCTCTGTTTGCTTTTGGATTCAATGGAGCTTCAGTCAGAAGCGTAGGATGTTCTTCAGGAGCTACACGTAGTTCGTTATACATTGTATGATGCCAGATTTTTTCCATGTCGTCCCAGTTTGTGATAATTCCGTGTTCAATCGGATACTTGAGAGTGAGGATTCCTCTTTTACTCTGTGCTTCGTCGCCGACATAGCTGTCTTTCTGTCCCATTCCTACCATCACACCTTGATGTCTTGGTCTTCCAACGATGGAGGGGAACACCGCTCTTGGTGCGTCATCTCCAGCGAATCCAGATTTAACTAATCCTGATCCATTGTCACAGACAATTGCGGTTTGATCTTCCTCTCCGTCAGACATTTTGTTGCTTTGTAAGAGAATGTGGTTGTTGATTAGAAATTCTTAGAATGATGGAGTCCTCAACAAATTCAGCTCTTTATATGTTTAGCTAACTTCGGCGCCACGCTAACTTCAGCTGTTCTCACAGTTAATGCGCACAAATTCAACATGCGAATTTGCACATTTCATTCATATTCTTGTGCAAAATCGAAAAGATGAAGAGCATCAGTGAGCTACCATTCTTATCCAATCCTCATTTTGAATTCCTATTTCATTGGTTGCTGTGTATGTGGCGGATGTTACGGCGCGAGGGAATAAAAATTCAAGTATACCAAGTCTTGTCCATAACAGCCCAGCAAAAGACTCAATTGCTTCTGTTTCAATTTAAAATTTTATATATGCATTTTCTCGTGTATGAATTATATGAAAACTGATGTAATATGTAATCAAACGTTGTTTGAATAAGGACTTTGAATTAGGGATTTGCCCTTATTTGAGTTTTTTTTTTGAAATTTAAAGTAATTTAATAACCCACAAAACACATATTCCACGTATAGTCATGTGTAAATATGTTTATTTGGAGGTATTGGTGTTATTCTCAAAAGCCGCCTTTTTTACGCACACATTAAATATAGTTTTTAATTTCTCACAAAAAAGTGGTCTAACAAAAACGTTTTTTTTCTGCATACAGCAACAGGTCATTGATACAAACATTTTCCTCTAATTTGTCTGATTTATTACAAAGTATGCACAATATCGAACATGACTATGTAGCTAAAATTTCACAGTCTTTGTATTCCAATAATTTCCAATCATCGATGAAACATTGGTGGTGAAGGCCAAGTTGTATGTTGAAATAAATAGTACATATCTATCTATGCATTTCTCGTTCGGCGTAAAGTCTAAAAGAAACTAAGAAGAAAAAAACAATTACTTCACAAATATAAAACTAGATTAAACAAAGGCATATTAAGCAGGCTTCTATCACATTTCTACTAGATGAACTGTGTGAGAACTGAGGATTTTTCTATTACCATTTAACTTGTTAATTCTTGGAATGCAATACGATATCATAAATTTTAATGCTTTGTCACTAAAAATTTTGAATATATATATATTTATTCTAATTTTTTATGGAGATGCGTATACATGAAAACTTACAGACGCAATCAGGTTTACTTGTAAATTCGAACTTCCCGTCTTCGTCGCATGCTGCACTTTCGTCTCCAATAATCCTCAGATAAGATGGATAACATCTGAGTTTGATTTTTGTTCCAGTGTTATACTCTTCTCTATCGGGATAGATCCGAATTCTTCGTTCAAATTGAGGTCGGGTACATTTTTTTCCTACTTTCTTTTCGCCTGATTATTCAATAACCCCAAATTTATTGTTATATTTATTCTATGTAGTATATAAAATTGAAATACTCAGTGTTTAGGATTCAAAATACAAAAAAATTATTACATATGATTAGTAAACATGAAGTGTTTGCATACAACGAGACAGGCGACTCTTGGATAAATAATCTACTTACATTCTGGAATCTTGTCGTGAAATCGTCCGTCTAATTCACAAACAGCAATTGTTTTGCCATTAATTTGATATCCTGGATTACATGAATAACCAATTTGTTCACCAATATTATATCTTTTCTTACTCGGACTGATCTTTAAACCTTTTGGAATATCCAGAGGCGCGATACAGCTGCTAGAAGTTTCATATTTGGCATCTGTGTCGGGAATACAAAAACAAACTGTATTTTATAAATATAGTAAATCTTCTTTTATCAAAGATTCTCGCTTTGTGTGTTTTGAAACTTTTCATTCCTTTTTTGAAGCAGAAAATATTCGGTACACCCTGACGACAAATATCCCTCACGATCAGAAAACACTGGCATAAATATATGAAAAGGATAGCAAACTATGCCAATGAACCAATTGAAAATTGAGCTGATATTATGACACAAACGTTTTGCACCTAAATTTCAATTACGATTTGAATTCATGATCAGAAAGTCTTCCAAATTAACGCCAAATTGAAATAGCATTACCTATCCTTCGACAAACAGGAGGATTGGGTTCAAATTTCCCCGATTCTTGGCAAACAGAAGAATCGGCTCCCAACAATTGGAACCCATCAATACAAGTAAAAATAACAACTTCCCCGGGTACATATTCTTGTTTATCTTCTATCATTCGTCCATATTCTGATATGTCCGGTCGTGCACACTCATCTAAAGAATAATAGGATTATGAGCTTGAAAAAAAAATGCGAAATTGAATACAACATGAGATGAAAGATGAAATATTTACGATAGGATAGGATTTACATATTTATCTCGGGGAGAGGAAAGGCGGTAAGACGGCATAACCATATGGCGAATCACGGCCTCTCGTCCGGAAACCATTCCATGTCGGGTATGGGATTAGTTAGTTATTTGTTTTCCGGAAGCATGGATTTGATAGTACAGGAAGCCGTAAACGACCAGCGGTTACGTGAGCCCCCCTACGGTACCAGTAGCCTATGGCACGAAACGTCACAGAATATTAATTTAATGTAATCTAACCGCTTGCGAATGTGGATTTCTGGTACTGTTTCTCGTAAAAATTCATTTTTGATTTGCCTTCTTCAAATATTTGGTATGTATACTACTTTTCATCAAGTATATATATATGAATTATGGTTAATTTGCGGTATATTGGCAAGCTTTTACTAATATCAAATAATTGAAAAATATTATTTACAAGCTTAAGTATTATTTCTCCAACCACTACGAAGTGTCTTTGAAAAAACATTTTGACTTACATTTGATACATAATGGAGGAGAATTATCATATTTTCCAGTACTTAAACATTCTGCACGGTCGTTTCCCACAAGTTTAAAATCTTGCTCACAATCGAAGAATACAGTTCCTCCAGCAAACACAATGTCGCTATAATCTCCGTATACCAAACCATGTTCCACAAGTTTAGGTAATTTACAGAATCCTGCGTAAAAAAATGAAATATTGCAACAGAATATAGGAAATTACAAAAAATGGAATATTCATTTTGAAATGAACAAAAAAATTTTGTTCAAAAATTTCCCGCCCATGCACATACCATTAAAATGGCTTGTTCGATTATTTATATTTGCTTTATATTTTAAAACTCCTTACTTAGGCATTTTGGCACTCCCGGAGAGAGAAGTCCGTCCTTGTCGCAAAATGCTTGTGGGTCACCCAGCATTTCAAATCTACGGTTGCATTGAAACCTCACGCTTTTTCCATATGCGATCGAACCGTTTTCCGACATTTTTACAACACCATCTTGTAGTTCAGGGACAGTGCAAAATTTTTGTCTCTCAAATTTATTCGACGATTTCAAGCATACCGGTACATCTGGTTGCAAGGTACCGTCTTTGCGACAGACAGATTCGTTACTGCCATGCAACACGTAAGATTTGTAGCAATAATATTTCACTTTGCCTCCTTCTCTTATGTATCGCCCGGAACTACTTACATACCCATTTTCAAGCAAAGATGGAGTTTTGCAAATATTTGATGACGAATTTCGCAAAAATGCTGAAAATAATGATTGGGCATGATGTAAAATACATTTATCTCGATTATGTGTGTTTCAATGAAAAATAATATGAACATAATGAAATTGTGAAGTAAGAAGTTTCTCGTGATATTTCAAGGTACAAATCTATTCCTTCCCCTGAGCTTATGACAAACGAGTTTGTCGCGGTCGAAGTTGATTATCTTCATTCCAAAAAAAAAAAAAAAAAATTCAACTTACACTTTATATGTCTTTCTTCAACTTGAAATGATCTCGCGGAATCGCCACTATCTTGTGCTTTACTAAGCTTGCATGTCGGCACTTGATATGAAAACTTTCCACTTTTCCTACACCGTATTTGACTTTTTCCTTGAATATCATATCCTTCGTTGCACGAATATTTAATGCTGTCACCATATGGGACGAAGTCATTGTAGTTGTATTCACCGTGTCCATTTGTGGGTGCCTTAGGAACCTTGCATCCTGAATGTTCTGTAGAAATAGCGTCATTGCACGTGCCGTCGTCAATTATATGTTTTGTTATTATTTAATAATATATATGTTTTAATTTGTAAGTGAACGACATTTACAGCATGACTACGGTTGGTTATTTTTCTAAAACAAAACGATATTCACGAAAATGTTCTATGTTTACCCAAAATTCAAATCGGGTGTCTAGTATATAGAACTTACCTCCGTTTTTTTCACATCTGGGAGTTTCACCAGAAAAATCTCCGTCATTCTCACAAATTAATACAGCTTTTCCAATAAGATCATATCCAGTCCGACAACTATATGTTACAACAGTTCCGTTTGTCACTAAAGTAAGTTCTTTGGTATCAACGTAGCCGTTTCTTGGTGCTCGAGAAACTGAACAGCCTTGTATTTTGATGTCACTTTTACCATCTAGATTTATTTGAATTACAGTATTTGTTTTTGGTGCATTTTGGAGTTATGTATTGTTGATATATCATCAATAACGTTTCAGTATTTCCCAATATAAATGCTGACAAAATTTTTTTTCCATATTAGCCGCTGTACATTAAGTCGCGTGCTGAGCATGTACAAAAACAACAACAGAGTATAATACACAATAAAAGCTTTTTAAGGCCTCAATTTTTCACCGTCCGGTCAAATATTGCTGTAATCCGTTCTCCATGTTTATCATATTTCATAATATTCTACTTACGACTCACCTTTCTCACATTTGGGTGGTGTTGATGACCACTTCCCCGTAAGCTTACATGAAATTCTTTTCCCCCCTCGCAACTTATATCCTCTGTTGCATCTATATCGTATCGATATGCCGTTATAGAAACTTTGTTTGTTAGGACGATAAAATCCGTTTTCTAATTCTGGTGGCTTCTGACAAGACACTAAAATTACAATAATGAATGTAATATTCAACCATAATCGACCAAACTTTATCTATATAATTAGCACTGGAAAATTGTCACACATTTTGATGATGGCGCATTGATCTTTGGGCACTATCAAAAAGCGGAATGATTCGGATAAGATAAATCAAATACAATCATTCAATATTCGAATAATTTTATTCCATTTGCGACCAACATAAATAATAAAACAAACGTGTTATGTTATCCCAAAGCAATATTTGAAAACCGTCTTTATAGAGAGTGATTATTGAGAAAATTTGCTCAAAACATGATTACACATTCTCATTCAGAATTGAAATATACTAATTTCAAGCAAAGGACAAATGATGGAATGGCAAAAGCCACTGGAATATTATAAATTTTTGATATGCGCCAACTAATGCCTATTGACGTGATTCGCCAATACGATCATGAAAACAGCTATGAAGTAGGAATTTTCACGTAGATGAAATAAAACTTATTAAAACGCTGTTGGGAACTGATGGATAACGGCTTACAGCCAACTATAAATTTTTTTTTTAAATAAGATTCGAAAATTTAACAGAATGCATTCAGTTATAGTAACTAGGTAACTAGCCGGGGCCTGAAAAGCATAATCAAAGTATCCCACGCAACTTAGATTTTGTTGTGCTGTGGTACGCTAAGTACCGATACCGATAGTTAATCAATGTTTTTTTCTATCAAGTTGAAACTAATGATTTTAACTGATTAGTATTTTGTTTGTAAAAGATTTAATTACATCATCTCGCTTACCTCTCTTGCTGTCTGCTCCATTTATATAACAACAACATAAATACACCGAAACATACAATATAATCCGAAAGTCTTCCATTGCACTGGTATAATTTCCATTTTTCATCAGAAATATATTTTCTACAAAAATTTGTCGATAATCACCAAAATCAGATTTCATTATTGAGACGTGGAATGATAATAACAAGATTGATCGAACTTAACTTGTCTCTAACAAACTTGACCATGCCAGGTTTGCTGTTTGGAACACACTGGTCAATTAGTTGAATATAATTATACGTAACGACATAATCTCTTTAAACGCAATTATAAAAAAGATCTTACACTTCACTTCTGATTGCTTCTCGATCGCAATTACTTTGTCATTTCCTCCTTTCCCTTTAATTGCAGTTTTTGTTAAAGAGAGCTTGATTACGTTTTTATCAGAACGAGCAGGACTTCCAAGATACGGAAAAGAAAATTTTTCCGCAGATAATGTTGTGAATGTTATTGAGATATATACACTTTTACTTTTCAAATCTTTTAGTCATAAATTTAATGGTAATTCAAGCATCGTAATATGTCAATTCTTCAAAAACGAGTTTTTACTTTCAATCTTTTTCTCATCTATTATTGTTATTCATGTACATATTTCTACAGAGCACTTGTATTGTTAAATACATGTAATATCATATGCGTAACGCATATGGATCTTGATTAATTCACATTCAAATCAGACAAAATAAAAATTTTCATGCTTAAAAGTTCGGGGAAATCTCCAATGTTTTTAATATGGAGCGAGCCTATTTTGAATATAAGGTATTTAATTACATACATGTATAAGCAAGTATAATATTTTATATAACAAACAATATTGCGAATGTTGTATTATCCTATATAAATTCGAACTAGCTTGCCACTGATTAAATAAAACTATTTATGACAAAAACTGGCAGATAATGTCATATTGCATGCCTTACACCAGTCCAAGTCTATGTTTATAATTACTAGATAAAAAATGGTGGCATTGAACTAATCCATGGGTGGTAAAACCAAAATTTATATTTGACATGTAATATAATATTGTTCACGAAACTCAGTTTTTACAAATGTAATTTACTACTCGTTGTTAGAACTAGCTGTTAGCGCTATACCTGACCCTGGCAAAATGTGCCAATTGCCGCACTCCGGCTGGGAACAACTGCAAATTCATAGCGCTAAGTAAACTACGAACTGGTAGCAAAATATTGCACCCGTGTGATATAAAAACTCCAATCAGTCGAGATATATTATCATTCATTTTTTAGAGTAGTACAATCATTCTCTATTCAAACGACAATAGAAAAAAAATAAAAAATGTCTGACGGCGAAGAAGACCAAACCGCAATTGTCTGCGACAATGGATCAGGATTGGTAAAGTCCGGATTTGCTGGAGACGACGCACCAAGAGCTGTGTTTCCTTCTATTGTGGGAAGACCAAGACATCAAGGTGTGATGGTAGGTATGGGCCAGAAAGACAGTTATGTCGGCGATGAAGCTCAGAGTAAAAGAGGAATCCTCACTCTCAAGTATCCGATTGAACACGGAATAATTACTAATTGGGACGACATGGAAAAGATCTGGCATCATACAATGTACAACGAACTACGTGTCGCACCCGAGGAACATCCTACGCTATTAACTGAAGCTCCATTGAATCCAAAAGCAAACAGAGAAAAAATGACACAAATTATGTTCGAAACATTTAACGTTCCAGCAATGTACGTCGCCATTCAAGCTGTTTTATCATTATATGCATCCGGCAGAACTACGGGTATTGTAATGGATGCAGGTGATGGTGTTTCACATAATGTACCAATATACGAAGGTTATGCACTTCCCCATGCTATTGCGAGGTTGGATTTGGCTGGTCGTGATCTCACTGACTATTTAATGAAAATTCTGACTGAGAGAGGATATTCTTTCGTTACCACTGCTGAACGTGAAATTGTTCGTGATATTAAAGAAAAACTGTGTTATGTTGCTCTTGACTTTGAACAAGAAATGGCAACAGCTGCTTCTTCAACATCACTCGAGAAAAGCTACGAACTTCCCGATGGTCAAGTCATTACTATCGGAAATGAAAGATTTAGATGCCCGGAAACTCTTTTTCAACCTTCCTTCATTGGTAAGCAAACTATTTTCAAATTCAAAATCTTTTCAGTTCATCGCGGTAGCTTGTGATTTTAAATTTTGTATCTTTCAATATGTCATGTTTTGAGTTACAACTAATCAATACGACGTCATTTAAAATGTTTTTCATCTGAATATTATTTTATCTAGGTATGGAATCTGCCGGTATACACGAAACAACATATAATTCTATTATGAAATGCGACATTGATATTCGTAAGGACTTGTACGCCAACAACGTTCTTTCTGGAGGAACTACAATGTATCCTGGTATTGCTGATCGTATGCAGAAAGAAATCACTGCTCTTGCACCAAGTACTATGAAAATCAAGATCATCGCTCCTCCGGAAAGAAAATATTCTGTATGGATTGGAGGATCAATTTTGGCTTCTCTCTCAACCTTCCAACAGATGTGGATTTCAAAGCAAGAATATGATGAAGCTGGTCCTTCGATTGTTCACAGAAAATGTTTTTAATTTGAATTGATTCCTGTCTATTTTGTTTTAATTGAAATCCCAAATTTATGTTTCGTACTGATTCAATCAAGTTTAAACTTAACACGTGTTTAGTGTCAATAAATAAATAGTATCTTGGAAATCGATACGCAGTAATATTGTTTTTACTACCAATCCTATTTTTATGAGTGTGTTAGTGTTCAATGGAAACAGTACTGTTGTTAATAATAAACAATACTTGAAAAGTCCTTTCATACTTAATTAAAATGAAAGGTTATTTTAGTTGATTGAATATTTTACCACTCACTTAGTTCTCTATTAATAAAACACTAAAAAATGCTCAACGATGTTCATACCTACTTCGCGAGCATATTTTTTAAATTCCTAAGATGACATTTTTAGTCCATTGTCAATGACTAAAACTAAGATCTTGCCATCGAAAAAAAAAATATATTTTCAAATGTTCATTAAAGATTGAGTAAACACTGTGTTTGTAGCCGCAACTTCAGGCTATTTTGGGTACAAGTCACTACTAAAATATATAATTCTGGGAGGCTGCTTGAATTTATTCAAAAATACACATCTATATTTTTTGCCTTGGATATGCTATCGGGATATTTCAAAAGTTTCGACGGAGGGTTGCAAAGCTTCAACAATTTTTCATAAGAATCATTATTCTTCATATCTGCACCAAGACTCAAAACAAAAGTTCTACATAATTCTTCCATTCTGACAATACCTGGATAACCATAATGCGCCACATTTAAAACAGAACGTCTCAACGACTCTGGTATGACTCAAGAGTGCCTCTGGATATTGAATATTCATACCAGGTAGATAATTCGTTACGAATATTCTAGAACTTCATATTCTCCACTCACATTTTATGCCAGCGTTCGCGTATAAATCTGTATAATTCAACAAAAATATCATTAACTTCATAGTTTTTTTCCAGCCTGTATGAGATAACTGACGAACCTGTTCATATTTTCAAGACGTCAATTTTCCCTTTTAATCGACTCTTAGTCGAGATGGTTTTGTATAAATCTACTCAACATATCTGCAACTTGGTAATTCTTCCTGAAAATATATTTAGCATCAAAATTATACTGCAATAAACTCAATTGTTCATGTTCTAAACCAGTCATTTTTGTAGTCATAGTAATTGGCATACAATCAGTTCTTGACAAAAATTTACGACCATATAGATGATATACATGCAAGTGTTCAAAAGTCAAAATACATGCCAATTCATGACGTTCACCAGTAGAGTATTTTTATCAGTTGCTGATAGATAGTGTTCTGTATCTTCTAAACTTTAAGTGAAGGCTACAGTTTTTGTAAGAAATGTTTTCTCATTTTAATTATGGGCACTAGGTTGTGTTCTAAAAAAGTCTTTCGCAATATCTATTTTCCGTAGTCCTATTTTATAAGTGCAGTAGATTCATATTTGGTCAAATTAACTGATTGCTTATCCAAAATTTGATACTAATAATTATTTACATGTATTATCCTCATGCTTTATAATACAAGAGTTCCGAATATTTATTTGAGTCAACTTGGCTGTCTATTTCGAACAATAATCTGGCATCCGTAAATTCTCCCGCATGTCGCTCTCTTCTTTCTGCGTTATTAGTGAGCGCACCTCTATAATTAAGCTATGGAATTTTGTTATTTGTAAGTTAAATATTCACGTTTGTTTTCAGTTATTCATTTAATATTCGGAGTGATGGGGATATAAAAAGATTAAATTGTGTGTAACTGCCGGAGTAAACTGACTCACTGATGTCCATTACTACTACAACAAAGGCAAAGCAACAAATGTTGGATTGACCATTTGGGAACGGACTTTTTAAGTATTTCTGGTGTTACTCGCACATTGAATCACACAATATCATACTTAGGTGATAGCACCAATTATTACCTACAGGTTTCTCTCGTTTGCTTTCTAATTTTGCAGTAAAACTAAACGATATTAATGGTCATTAATATTGTTTTAATAGGAAGATAATGCGTGGGGTCTAAGCGTGAATCGAAATACAAATTGACCTGAGTCACGACTTTAGTATCAAATATTTTACAATACCGGTCATCTACCTTCAGCTTATCAAAAACACCCGTCTTCATTGACCAAGAGATTGGTGCCAAGCGGTCGCGGAAACTCTTCAGGTAATTTTTAATTTTAGCGTCACCACACAAAACTTTGAAGTGAAAAACGAATTCCATAGAACCTACATTTTGGGGGAAATATTTATGAGGTAGACAAGTGTGGTCAAGAATGATATATTTAAAAAAAATTATGCCACGCCCACTAGAAGTACTTGTGGTATTAAACTACACTTTACCCACAGGTGGTCGTTCCATAGTTCAGGATACAATGTCCAAACATGTAAACTACATTTCAAAAGAAAATTGCCCCTAATTTGAATACTACTAATGTATGTGGTGAATGAATCATTTGACTCAGACATTGTTCAATTTATTTTAGGTTAATTTCAATTTCATTGTTCAAGTTAATGCAATTAAAGAAGTATTATTTTAAATCAGGCACCTATACGTTTACTTACTTATATATTTGTACGAATAGGACAGGTCGTAAAAGATGTACCTCACTTATCAGTTCAAAATACATGTTTGTTTGTTACTAGTGAGGAAGAGTTTAAAACGTTACAGATTCAAAAATAAATAAAAACACGGTCTTAGTGAAAGCCATGCGTTAAAAACACAACTATTAGAAATTAAATTAGAAGCATTTTCTATGAACAATCGAAGGACCAGCTTCATCATATTCTTGCTTTGAAATCCACATTTGTTGGAAAGTTGAGAGAGAAGCCAAGATTGATCCCCCAATCCAGACAGAATATTTTCTTTCCGGAGGAGCGATGATCTTGATTTTCATGGTACTTGGTGCAAGAGCAGTAATTTCTTTCTGCATACGATCAGCAATACCAGGATACATTGTAGTTCCTCCAGAAAGAACATTGTTAGCGTACAAGTCCTTACGAATGTCAATGTCGCATTTCATAATCGAGTTATATGTTGTTTCATGAATGCCGGCAGATTCCATACCTTTATACAAAAATAATCAGGTAAAAAAATTGCAAATGACAATAACACAGAGTTACAAATGATTTGATATAAGAACATTTGTATCGATTGTTGAACTCAGAACAGGATATATTGAGAGATCAAAATTTCAAGGCACAAATTCCTATTAGCCAATGTAGAGACAGATTAAACGGGAGGATTGTTTTTTGAAAATATATTTCACTTACCAATGAAGGAAGGTTGAAATAGAGTCTCTGGGCATCTAAACCTTTCATTTCCTATAGTGATAACTTGTCCATCAGGAAGTTCGTAACTTTTTTCAAGTGATGTTGATGAAGCAGCTGTTGCCATTTCTTGTTCAAAGTCAAGAGCAACATAACACAGTTTTTCTTTAATATCGCGAACGATTTCACGTTCAGCAGTTGTAACGAAAGAATATCCTCTTTCAGTCAGAATTTTCATCAAATAGTCAGTGAGATCACGACCAGCCAAGTCCAATCTAGCGATTGCGTGAGGTAGTGCATAACCTTCGTATATTGGTACATTATGTGAAACACCATCACCTGCATCCATAACAATACCTGTGGTTCTGCCGGATGCATATAAGGACAAAACAGCTTGAATAGCGACGTACATTGCTGGAACGTTAAATGTTTCAAACATAATTTGTGTCATTTTTTCTCTGTTTGCTTTTGGATTCAATGGAGCTTCAGTTAACAACGTAGGATGTTCTTCGGGTGCGACACGTAGTTCGTTGTACATTGTATGATGCCAGATCTTTTCCATGTCGTCCCAATTAGTAATTATTCCGTGTTCAATCGGATACTTGAGAGTGAGGATTCCTCTTTTACTTTGGGCCTCATCGCCAACGTAGCTGTCTTTCTGGCCCATTCCTACCATTACACCCTGATGTCTTGGTCTTCCCACAATGGAAGGAAACACAGCTCTTGGTGCGTCGTCTCCAGCAAATCCAGATTTCACTAATCCTGATCCATTGTCGCAGACAATTGCAGTTTGATCCTCTTCGCCGTCAGACATTATTTTTATTTTATAGTTTGAATAGAAATGAGAAGCTAGTTGGATTAGTTTAAAATCGAATGATGATGTATCCCTACTGACTGAAGCTTTTATACGCTTACATGGTAGTGTTGGTGTTAATAATTTGCTTTCAATTCGCAGTTCACTTAGCACTATAAATTTACAGTTGCTCCCGGTTGGAGTGTGCAAATTGCCAATTTCTTACAGACTCTGGTACAGCGCTGGCCTTAATTGCAAGTAGTAAATTTACATTTTTACCACTGAAAAGTATTTTGGACCAGGTTATATGTCCAAAAAAATTGCTTTCACTATTCATGAATTAATTTGATGGCGTCCCCTTTACGCAAGTACTTGAGAATATCAAACCCCATACATACTAGTGCTAAACAAGTATGATGACGTTAATTCTTTGTGTTTGTAACTATCTTATTCAATGACAAAAGAAGTTTTATTTTTGAACTTATTTAGCATAGCAACTTTTGCAACATCACTCCATCGCACAAAATTATGTCTCTATTTTCAGATATAATATAGGCCTATGCAACTTATTTTTGGTTTTTATATTAAGAGTTTATCTTTGCATTTACAAGTTAGAAGTGATACAGTTTTATATATACAGTATTTTATTTATTCAGATTCATAAAAATGTTCTTTGAAAGAAAAAAACCTATCACAAACTTACGCTAATTCGTATTTCGTTCAATTTTTAGTATCCGATGGACGATTATTCTGAAAAGATATAAAACTATTGAGGATTATTATTATACGACTCAATTTGCCATTCTTTGGTTGTTTTAGCCGTCTACAATTACTCACTGAAGTTTTAAATATTAAAACATTGTTAAACCGTAACATTATGGCTATACATTTCTGAATCTTCAACGCGATAAACGGTTTTAACAATTCCAGCAATTATCAGTAATTGCTTTCAAATGTACATAAAAACAATTTTTATGGTTATAATGTAATGAGTGTTCTATTAAATGAACCCGAGTATCACGTATATCTCATACCTATTAATTTATTTTGCTGGTTCCATTTTTTTGAGTTTTCCCACTTTCGTCTATTTTTAGGTCTATTTACTATGAAATATTAGTTTGTTTTTGAAACACAGGCGTCATAAAAAATGCCCCTAATTCAAATTGCGTAGAACACACATCTTGATAAAACCGACCTTTAACCCGGACAAAATCAGAAAGTGCTTGACGTCTAGCACTAGTGTATAGCCGAGTTCCTAATTACGTGCTTAAAGATGGCGCTACTGAACCAATGTACTTAAAATGAAACCAATATTCTATTTGGAATATAACATTGTTAACAGTATTTTCTTGAATGTTAGTTTACTACTCGCTGCTAGAACTCGCACTATAGCAGACCGTTGTAAAATGGGTCAATTCGCACATTTCCAGTAGAAACAACTGCAAATTTATAGCGCTAAATAAACTGCAAATTGATAGCAAAATATCAACACCGACATTGCCATTTAAGCGTATAAAAGTTCAGCCGTTTGGGATATATCATCATTCAATTTTTTAAGTAGTGCAATCATCTCCTATTCGATATATAAACAAAAACAATGTCTGACGGCGAAGAAGATCAAACCGCAATTGTCTGCGACAATGGATCAGGATTGGTAAAATCTGGATTTGCTGGAGACGACGCACCAAGGGCTGTGTTTCCTTCTATTGTGGGAAGACCAAGACATCAAGGTGTAATGGTAGGAATGGGTCAAAAAGACAGCTACGTCGGAGATGAAGCTCAAAGTAAAAGAGGAATACTCACTCTCAAGTATCCGATTGAACATGGAATAATTACTAATTGGGACGACATGGAAAAGATCTGGCATCATACAATGTACAACGAACTGCGTGTAGCTCCCGAGGAACATCCAACGCTTCTGACTGAAGCTCCATTGAATCCAAAAGCAAACAGAGAAAAAATGACACAAATTATGTTTGAAACATTCAACGTTCCAGCAATGTACGTCGCTATTCAAGCTGTTTTGTCTTTATATGCATCCGGCAGAACTACGGGCATCGTTATGGATGCAGGCGATGGTGTTTCACATAATGTGCCAATCTACGAAGGTTATGCACTACCTCACGCCATTGCTAGATTGGATTTGGCTGGTCGTGATCTCACTGACTATTTAATGAAAATTCTGACTGAGAGAGGATATTCTTTCGTTACGACTGCAGAACGTGAAATCGTTCGTGATATTAAAGAAAAACTGTGTTATGTTGCTCTTGACTTTGAACAAGAAATGGCAACAGCTGCTTCTTCAACATCACTCGAGAAAAGTTACGAACTACCTGATGGACAAGTCATCACTATCGGAAACGAGAGATTCAGATGCCCAGAAACTCTTTTTCAACCTTCTTTTATTGGTAAGCATAAACTTCTCCAAACTTTTCACTAGTTATGTCTACAAATTTTTATCTCTCAATATACCATGTCTTAGGTTTTAAGTGAATCGCTGCAATTGTTGTTTTTATAACACTCTTACGAACTTCTGTGTTAGTGTAATTTCAAACGTCCTTATCTGAATACTATTATGTCTAGGTATGGAATCTGCCGGTATACATGAAACAACATATAATTCTATTATGAAATGCGATATTGACATTCGTAAGGACTTGTACGCCAACAATGTTCTTTCTGGAGGAACTACAATGTATCCTGGTATTGCTGATCGTATGCAGAAAGAAATCACTGCTCTTGCACCAAGTACAATGAAAATCAAGATCATCGCTCCTCCGGAAAGGAAATATTCTGTATGGATTGGAGGATCGATCTTGGCTTCTCTCTCAACCTTTCAACAAATGTGGATTTCAAAGCAAGAATATGATGAAGCTGGTCCTTCGATTGTTCATAGAAAATGCTTTTAATTTAATTTGATTTCCATTTGTTTTGTTTTTCACTGATGGCTTCTACGTTTTGATGTTTCGTTTTATACTAGATCAATCAAGTTTTAAACTCTAAATGTGTTTAAAAACCAAACGCAGTTACAGTCTTTTTCTACATGTCTCATTTGTAAATATGAATTTATGTTCAATGCAGATTCTGCATTCTACACAAATTCTACGTTGTATAACAATACTCTTGTAAGTAATATTTTTTATGTATAGTCAATTGAATATTTTACCACATACGAAAACAGCAGTGCGTTAATTTATTTATGACCTTGCTGGCAATAAACAATTTTATCCAGTCTAATATATCTAATGTAGCTTGCATAGAATTTTATGATATATATACTAAATTACTTCAACATAATGCGTCCTAATGAGAGATAACCAGAAGAGGTCGTTAGATAGCAATCACTCTAAGTTTCAAATAGATTTAATTGGTCGTGATCAGCCAATAGATGGTTAGCTGTAATGTCGCTAATTTATTTGAAATGCCAAAATGGAAGTGTTTTTTGTCTTGTATATATATGGTGAGCCTAAATATAGATGGGATTTCAATTTGATTTATGGCGGTAACCCAACGAAACTTAATATACTTATGGTGACCAACTAACACCAGAGAGCCTATAAAAATAACAGTTATCTAAACATTCTAAAGCAACACACTGATCTTAATGCATTATATATAATTTAATTCTCAAATGAAAAAATAACATGAAAATGAAAAAAATGTACATAAAATAAAGTCACATACAACATTGACGAGTGCACTAAGTAATGAATTAATAATCCTGATTTAAATAATTTTACAATTTCGTGAGGATAAAGAATAATGTCATGATGAAAGAACACATAATAGTACTAAACGATAAAGTTGATAATACAGCTCTTTTTGATTCTATTTTAATGGTGTAAAAAGTGTGTTGAGTGTGCATTGACGAGTGTTACAGTTTCCATATACAGTATGTAATTTACTCAGATGCAAAAGATTACACATAATTGACAGAAACATCTATTTAACAAAACTTTTAAGCCAAGTCGTATTTCGCTTAATGAGTCGGTTCAATCAGTTGCCGTAGTATCCGATGAATGATCCTGAAAATGCAGAAGACAGAACATTGAGATCTGATAATTATGACGCAATCAAAATTATTATGGTTAAATTTGATTTAATATTTTGACTATGTTGCATTGAATTTGGTTCCCGGTAACTCGTAGTCATCTCAGTGTCAAGAGTATTATTACAGTGCAATCAGAGGCGGACAAGAAGGATTTTAACAATATCGGTCGTTAATCGTCTACAGAACTTTTTACGAAGTCTTCCGCCTTTGATGAAAAATTTTCAATGAAAAATTGATTTTGAATTGAAAATCTACCAATAACTTACGATGACAGGTCGGATTTTGTGGGTAGAACAAGCCATCTTCGCTGCATATAGATTCGTCTGCCCCATACATATAATGCAAGTTGTTACAAGAAAATTTCACTTTCTGACCGAGTCTGAAGTACGGTTGATCTGACTCAACTTTACCATCCTCGGGATCTTCTGGTCTTTTACAGTAAATCACTGAATTTCGTACAAATGTGTTAAAACAGACAAATGTTGAATAGCAAAGTATTCATAATAATTTACATTGGCCTATTCGCAAGATTTACATGCATTGCTGCTCAATCTCCAAAGCGGAAAACTGTTTTGACAATTGAAAAAACATGCAAAAACACAAACCACAATTATTGTTGATAAAAACATCGACATGCAAATCAAAGTTAGTCTCAAAAACACTATGAATCTTTGGTTAATGTGGTAAGGCGATATTAGTAATAGCAGGGTTTTATTTATACGATAGAATTGGTTGGTAAGATGGATTTTAGTGATAAGATCTATTTCCATTGTTTAGCCTAACCCCGGTAACCTACATCTGCAGCTTGGGCGAGTGTTTGACCATTGTCCATTTCGTTGGCATTGTAGGGTTTGTTGGCCTTGAAGTTTGTATCCGTGGGCGCAGTAATACCGGATAATTGTTCCGGGTTTGTATTCGTATCTGCGTGGGCTGATGGCTTGCCTATAACTCACGTACGGACGTTTGCAGGTCTTCACTTTTGTTGGGATAACTGTTGAATGATTGGCATTCGAGTCACGTAAATAAGTAAGTTAAGCTTAATTTCCTTATATTCCAGTGTTGTTTTAAAAATGATATGTGGTAAATGGTTCACATGCGACCGTTGAATGAATAAGTTAATTGAGATTTGACAATGTTACAAGTTACAACAAGCAAACGCTCACATCAATACGATTGCAAAAGCACAAAACATCAAGCATGCAATAATATTCAATAATATTTCATGAACAAAAGCAATTAATGGCTGATTGCATTAAATTAGTTAATAATTCAAATTAATAAAATACAATTTTTTCACTGTAGAATTGTTCTCTTGTTTTAATCATTTTCATTTTTGGTCAAAAAAATGTCATGCAAAACTTTAAAATCCTACCTTTGCATTTGGCGTCTGAAGCCGTGAAGTGACCATCTTCTCCACATGTGGCATTAAGAGTTTTTCCAACAAGTTTGTATCCTTTTATGCATTTGAAGTTGACAACCTCTCCGACGGAATAACTGGTTCTATTGGGTCGAATAGCTCCATTACTTGGGACCTGAGGGGGTGGGCATTTTGGCTCTGGAGCAAAAAAATAGAAAAAAATGAATAAAAATGTCGTACATGACACACAGTATTGAAAGTTATGTGTTCTTGGGTGCTTAGGACTATACATTAAATTGTATGTAAGACCATTTTTTGTCGCTATAGGGCTTGCATATTTATTACACTATTAACCTTTTGTACGCATAATGCGTCATAAATCGCTGTAAAAAATAAGGGGTCAGTTTGAATGATCGGAAAGGTTATGAAACATATTACACTGTGACAGAAAAATGACTCCATAAAAATTCCCTCCCAGCCTTTTAAAAAAGAACATTGGGAGTTTTAAAAGAAATAACTCAGAGAACGAGTTATGGTCGGATTATTATTTTTTGACATATATATTCGTACAACTTATCAAAACAAATTCGTAAGGTCTGTTTGGCACTTGTTGAACATTTATCGCTGCTTCGTTAGTGACTTACGGATGCACTTAGGAGGAGATGGATGAAATTCTCCATCTTTGCCGCATCTTGTTCTTTTGAAACCGTCAGATTTTCGGAATCCATTACATGCAAAATCTACCGTTTCGTCGGTGTCGTATGTTGCCTTGAGTGGATTAACGTCTACGTGATCTCCGACCGGAGGTAGAACACAAGGTAAAATTTTAGCTCCAACTCCTTCGATTGCTGAAATGATATTAAAACCAGCATTAGATCCAATTTCAACGGATTTTTAAAGAGAACAAAATATGCAATGAGAATGGCGGAAGCGTTTGATGTAAAGACAAGTGAAATCTCAAATAAAAAATTTATATATATATATATTTATGTAAATTTAGGGAATTATTTTTTGCAATACGCAAACACAAAAACTTGCTGAACCATGTATAAAAATGCAATATATTTCAATATTCCTAAAGATTCGAATGGACAAAATTATCAGGCAACATCAACGTTATTCGCAGCTTAAAATTACATCCTCATAACAAAAAATATCATCAATTGAAAATGGTATCATTTCTCACAGTTTTTAAATTTATTTACCAGAATCAAACGCATTATTTCATAGTTTTCAGTTGTGTATAACTTCGAAATAATTTCAGAGGTAACAATTAGATATGCATGCACAGTAATTTAACAGAAAATTAAATACGATACTTTAGTCATGACACGCTACTTCAAGAAGTTCGCTCATTTATTTAATAGAGTTGATCAAACCAACAAATAACAATTTTCATGAATTACTAAAAATAAATTACTACTCTACCCAATCTCTGTGTGCTTGCGAAATTAAATTTTTTATGGAGCTGATATTTGGTAAATATTTGATAGTTGACTCACATCCGTGAACTTGACAAGGACAACGGTATTTATCGCCAAGGTACGATTTCGTAACCACAGTCTGTTATTAAGGCCTTACAATAATCTACTACTTCATCGTGAAGTATTCTGGTCAAAATTATTGTGGCGATAATCCTATTGCATTCGTTTTGCTTAGCGATGCAAGAATATCGTCAACAAATCACTGTGTTTGTTTAATCCAAACGGGCTTGAAATGTCGTGCAAAAATATCGCGAAAGAGCACCATTGCAATGTTATATTATTTTTCAGTTTTAAAATTCTTCCACTCGCCTCAACTTATCCAAATTATTTACACAAAAAAAGTACTCTAGCTTGAAACAACGAAACGAAATGAATGTATGAAAGATCGATATAAACTTACGTTCGCAGGTCGGCTCCTCCGGATACCATTTGCCGTTCAGTTGGCACCTTGATCTCTTTGCACCTTTGAGTTCGAATCCATCGTTACATGTGAATGTAATTAGTTCAAAGAGCGGTTGTCTCCAATTTTCGAAAAATCCTACTTTGGGGTTGTGGTTACCATTCTTCATGTTTGGTTCTTCACATGTAACCACTAAAAAAAAATTCCAAAAATAATTCACTTTTTATTATATATATTTGTATTATAAATTCTGATTTAGAAGTGCTTTTTGTAATAGCATCTGAGAGGTATTTTCTCTGAATAAGGCAGACATTTTTCTCTCTGGTATGAACATAGCTGAACAATGTATTAAACACTGGGAAATGTTTACTGTAAGGTAAAACATATATAAGAGTTTAGAACAAATCCTCCAAGAATGCGTCTCCAATTTAATTATAGGTGAAGCAGTGAATTTCGTAGGCTTTGACAGTTTCAATGGCCGTAAATAAACCGTTCGTCCTATTTGGTGTTTCTTATAGTATACATACCATTTAGGTCACATAGTTAAAATTAAACTGTTTTCGTGTTTATCGATTATGCTTTTGGTATAAACGTTTCTATTCCGACTCGTTCGTGCAATATAATATTTACATATACAAAATTGAATAACCACTTACTTTTATTCCTTCGATCGTTGGGAAAAAATCCGAAAACAGTGCAGGAGAAACATGAAATCAGGAGAACGATCATTCCAACAGACGAACCCATTTTCTCTTGATTTGTATTGTAGAATTCTGTTCACACAACAGAAACTTGTTACAAAAGCAATACCTACAACAGAATCGCAAGCTCAAAAGCCTACTTTTCGACTACAATCAGAAAAGAATGCATGTATTTGCAAAACACCTGCCTTTTATTTTGTATTCTTTTTTTCGTTTTTCTAGCCGCAAGCGCTGAGGTAGCTCCAACAAAAAATAATTTATTGGCGGGTAGCAAAGTGCATTTTCGTACAATGCGCAAATCAGTACAATTAACATGAATCGAAACGTTATGCAGTTAATCAATAATGTGCCAACCCATTTTCGAAAATCACTTTGTTATATACTAGGCCACAGATAAATCCTAAGTTGAAAATAAAGCCCAACTTTACTGTGAAATCGGCTGTTTATATGTACATAAAATAAACTATAGCAACGAAATACTAAGATTTTACTTTTTTGCTAAAATTTTATTCAATATTTTGACAGAATTATTACAGTATGATAAGCAAATTGAACCTTATTATTACAATCGCGATAAATCATAGTAATGGACATATATAAACGTTCAATAAAACTATATAATTTTTTAAAAATTTCATCATATTCCATTTCGAGAACCTTCAATTATAAATTTCGCATTTTTTAATACTTTGTCCAAATTTGTAATTGTAGTCTTCTAAACGAAATGGTCTACCATTTTCAAGAAAATGCGGACACGTGAACTTCAATTATACAAAATTGACTTTAATTACCTTGTTCGATCTTTTACAAAATAAACGGGTTGCTCTCTGATCAATCGATGAACCGCTTTGCCTTTATGCTACAACACTTTTAATATGTTTCCTTTGATTCAATTTCCAGTTTATCACTGAGAATTGAGGAACGATATTGTCGAAGTTTACGAATGCTGAAAATGTGTAATACCGTACCTCTTATATACCTTCACTACTGCCGCTTGTCCTCGAGTCAGGATGACGTCATGTCTATTTTTGAGTCATGCAGCGCGGCGTGCTCTTTTGATTTCTGCAAAAGTGTTCCTACGCACTAGAATTCAATATAGGTTACACAATTTTATGATGCGCTTTTTCATTTTGGATAAAATTTCATATAATCATGCCCTCTTATCCGTTATCAAATGTCTCCTTATTAGGTCAACATATATCAGTTACAAACTAAATTTTTAAAATGAAAACGGAAATTCAGTAAAAATGTTACGTAATTAATTGTGGCAATAGCTAAGACAAATTAAACAGCCTTTTTTTAATTATCTCCATTCCATTCATTTTTTTGTGTGCAAAGTTGCCTCACCTGAAACCAAGCAACAAATGTACACTTTGTCAAATTTTCATACATGTACAACATACCTACCACATTTATTTGGAACGTCAATCAACTTATAAATACAAGTTAATTCTACTGGATTATATAGAGTGATATCACATTTGCTATAGGTAAAATTCAAATTCGGATTTAGTTTTTGGTCGCTTTCGGTTGGGACAATATAAGGAGAAAATTTTATCTTGAATAATAAGTATAGGGTGTTTCAGTCCCCGGAACTTAATAGTTGCCTTTTACGGTAAAAAGAATATGAAAATTAAATTCATGCTCAAAATAAATATAAATTTATGAACAACCATATGTTTGACATCTTAAATAATATAAAAATAAATTTGCAATATGCTGTGGCACATGTAATTTCAATAGGGTTTAAACTTGTTGACTGTACTGTCAAATGTATATATGCTATTTTTATCCAAAAGGCGTTCCTTCTCGTATAATTCATTTTAAGTCAATTCTTTTTGACGGGTTTTCGGGCATACACATACTCTTCACCAGTATGTTAAAATTTGAAATTCGACTAGTAAACAGCTCTATTTTAAAGGTCAACAACCCAAACAATCAGATTATCTAGTTCATTCCAGGTCGTCAAATCACAGGAAAGATCGATATTCGTGGTTGAGTCGATACAAATCAGTAATGCGTAGCTTATTCCGGTTGCTTAATAATCAGCCAATTGAGCACTGATTTGATCATAATATGTGCGTTGTTTGTCGAGATGATTCATGAAAACGCCGACCCAAGGAACAGTTTGAAGTTTCGGTAGCATCTGGGCTCAGATTTCTGTATGTTACCTTGTCATTCGCCTACACGCTATCTTGTTATGTTTAGGATGATATTCGGAAATTTAGTTCAACATTACACTCGATTTTTTTACTCCAATGAGACCTATATGATCCAAAAAAGTTAGCCTTCACACATATTGCTCGACCTTTAGCATTATTTTAATCAACACAATTAAATAGGGAATACTTTTACCTGCATACAAAATACAAAGCAGGTAAAAATGTTTAGAATAAAAAAGACCTGAATGACATCATCTATCTTTTGATTTGATGATTTATTGCGGAAAATACACCACGTGAAATTACATGTCATTTAGGCAAACAAAATTAATTCCATTTATGGAATTTGCATGTATTTTTCAATACGCTTTCCAGCGGGTTTAATGGTCGTTACAATTATAAAACAACTAGAAATTTGTGATCAATATAATACTATGTAATTTAGTTAAATGCTCATGTATCAAAAGCATGTGATTATGTATATGTAAAGTTGTATTAAAACTTTTTATATGGTTAATTGATGGATTGAATATGATGTATTATGAAACGTAAAATGAAATGATGTTTCACGTCGGACTAGATCTGATAAAAGTTGGAATTTGTTTATATATATATAAATATCAATAGCAAAAATTAATTGTGAAGTTTAATGGATAAGATATTAGAAGATGCATTATAATTTAATATGACAACTGGGGGGACCAGGAGTTATCACACAGTTTGATTGTTATTTTCTACTAGTAAATTTCCCATCCTTTATCTAGTTGGTTGAAAAATGAATATTGACTAGTTCAAAAAACGTGGAACTGTCAATGACAGGCAAAGCTTTAAACTTCAAACCACAAAAAACTGTATCTATAATAAGAACATAAATATATGTGATAAGTAGATTTGTGTCAATATTTGATCGTATAATAACGGTTCAAGAAAATTAATATACTTCATGATTATAACCTGGTTGCTTTCAGGCCAGTGTTTGTTGAAATATCAAAACCCTCCAACGATGTTACTATCGAATTTGCCGGTAGAGTTATGATGCTCACGAGTTACGTCATCTCGAATTCTTTTCACCTTTAACCCCCTGATTTTACCCTTTGGCGTGACCAAACGAAACTGAAAATTTGAAGATAGGTAGCACGATGTAATGAATCGCCCGAGGAAATCGTCACGGTGTGTTGATTTAGCGTTATGACTAAGCCACTAAGTTTCGTCAATTACGTAAATGCATATCCTAACCTGTGCGTCATGACGTAATACGCGCAAGCAGTTTTCTGTTAAAAGTATTCAATTAAAAAAAATACACAAAGGTGTTGTTTAAGATGAAGTCACGTCACGAGCGAAAAGTCGACAGACATGTCATTGCCCTGCATGGAAAATTCCGTCATAAAATCCAGATTAATAAATTTCATTCTTATTAATGAGTTTCGTAATTGAAATGGATTACTCGCTTCCAGTGACAAACAAACAAATAACTATTTCAACAAACCAGAATATGACTCACGTACATATTGTTTTCATGAAAGTTTAACTAAATAAGATCAAATTTAGACTCTCCATACAGATCTTATGCGTAGAAGATGTGGATTACTATCAAACCATGAGAAATATTTGTATTTGCAGGCGGCAAATTGAGGAGACAAAGCGGCCTCGAGCAACAACTTCGAATTCATAACATGAAAACCTACATCGATACTTCGTGAAGCGCTCAACGATTTTTAAAATTAACAAAAGCACCTTTTCTGGGTGGCCATTACCTCATTTACCGCACAAAATCCGGTTGCATCGTGTTGCTAAATAAAATTAAAAAAAATAATAGTTTCATCCAGAGACACGAAATGAAATTCATGGTTTATTTTCGGCGATGAATCCTAGATGATCATTTGCACGAAACCTTGCTGCCGCCATTGATCGGAGCATTTCCGTTTCACACAACTAAACTGAAACTTTTGTTTTTCGTTTGATCAAAGCAAGGTCATAAGCACTCACTTCAAATAAAAATTCCAAATATTTGTTTCAAATTACAAAATTTTAAAAAGTACGTAGACTGTGATTGGAATGATACTCAATAGTATATACGAGCTCATTCTGGTGTAAAATATATTGTCAACTTTTCTATTCCGCTTCTTGCAAGAAATATCTTGTTTCACAAAGTCTATTATTTTGCAATAAGCATATCACAGTGAGTTCGAAAGAAGCGCTACAACAGCAAAAAATTATACGCAAAAATCCAGGTCCGAAATTCCCCATTTCAGAACAAGGTTGCCAGAAAGCGTTTGGTCTGTTGTAAAACAGTACCATACATCAATGTATGATAATGAATTCAACATACCTTCAGGCTTGTTTTGATCATGAATATTCGGAAATTTTATTCTTATATTTAACAATCCCATTTCTGCTAGATTGTATATTCGATTAATTTTGACTACTCTGATTTTCTGGGCCTACTTAGAATTAAATCCAGCGACAAGCGACAACTGAACGGGTGAATAAATAAGCCTTTATATTGCTCACACATGAATACGCATTCTGAAGATTTATTAACCAAATCAAAAACACCCAATTGAGTTCAATTACTACGAAACACGAGTTAACATGTTAAAAGATTGATACTGAAAATTCAATTGAAAGTGAAAGTTAGTCGAGTCTACCGGAATTGGCGGTCTATAGAAGCTCATTGATCTTTTTCACATGTCCATTTAACAAAATTATGTTTTCGAGTACATATTGCATGCCTATATTGGTAGATAGGAAATTATTTAAACTAATGTATAGAAAACTATTGCTGTAATAAAATAATATTTATTTACGCTATAGAATATTACTGTTCAATTGATATAGAAAGTCGTGATATGAAAATTTGATTGATTTATTGTTATGACTCAGAACATGGAACTGATTTCTGCATGAAAATTCCAATCGTTTAAATATAGATTTTATATACATACACTTATTTCAATTAATGTTGGATTATCTGTTGGTCTGAACAACGATATTTTAATAGAGTAATCGTGGAAAAACCTAATTTCTTATGCTATTTATTTGGTTCTGGATGTTGTGTTATTTTCCGACTTATTTATCCGACTTATGTAGTATTATTTGTAGTTATATGGAATACAAAGACATGGGTTTTTTACAACTACATACAACAAAAATATATCCAAGTCACATTTTCCCCGAATAAAAAACTTTACTGACTGATCTCCTTTAAATCACATCAAATTTCTGTATTCAAAAATACGGAAAAGCTGTTAAGTTGTATCTTTCGTGAGTCGGAAACCTATATGTCGACCAAGATTTTTCTCCTTGGATTTTCCATGAACTTAGGTATCGTTTAATTTGCATAATCGAAATCGATTTATTCTATTTTATAATGTTTCGGAAATCACGAACAGAAAAATTCACGGAGAAATACCCTTGCGACGGCTGCATTTTCGTCTCGACGTTTGCATGTGTAAATTCAATGGGAGAATCGCTGAAGACCTAAAACCCGGAGGCGTTGAAACGGTATAGACTAGTTTCCGTCTATATCACGGATAAGAATAACATAAACACATAAGTGCCATAACATATACTACATTGAAATAGGACCCCAATGACGCACACGATTTTCGACCTCCGCAAATTCGTGCGAAATATGTACCAGTGAAAAAAACTAAAAACACGTGTCTTCTGTGTTTAATGTAGTTAGGAACAAAAATCGCGAAATTGCGTTTTATATTCGTAACCCTAGCTCACGTCTAGTCTTACAAGCGTAGATTTTCGTTTATTAGTTTGAA